AATATTTACCTATTATTGCTCTTATTGCTTCCCTTATTTGAGTTTGGCGACTTTTTCGTCAAGGGTTTCAATAAATGGAGAAGTCGACAATACTTATACATGCAATTAGACAAACCGGAAAACGCATATTTAATCAAGATTTGAAAGTTTTAGTATTTTGATTAATTCAAATATAATTATAACTTCTCTATAGTGTGTGTGTGTGAAAAAGGGAAAACAACTTCGACACAAATACCTAAGGGGGTGAAGTTTTTTGTTTTGTTGGTTTTGACTACTAAGACAGAGGCCTTGGGTTCGATTCTCGAAACTATTACTAAGAGTATCAGACTCTATATAATCACATTAGAGTCATCGTTGGATGTTTAATACTTTTAATATAGTTGTGAGATCGAGACTTGATCGGAACTAAATTGTGACCGAACTGTTATTACGAGAATTGGCCTTCAGAACTATCAAGCGCATTAGCTATCTTATCAATTAGATATATTTTTACACACTTTCTTATATCGAGAAGTCGTGGAATAGGATGATGTATCTTTCTTCTGGCCTAATACCTAATTCTGAACCGTGTTTTTAAAAAAATGCGAAATGGGCAACTTATGGGACAATCTGTAAGGGTTGAACTCATTCGAATAAAGTAACCGTCTAGTATTATTTTAATGAACATGAATATAAAAAAAGGAAAATCATGAGAGTTACACAGAAACTTGTGTGGTTGAAAGTCACATTAACTTTGGGATAACATTGATCCACCATTTTTTGATCTTTAAACTTCATTTTATTGTGTTTTTAAGATAACAAAGATCGCTTCAGACTATATTAAACTTCCTCCGAGCCTTTTTTCCCAAACTAGGTTGGGGTCGGATTTAAGTCTTGTATGATACGGCTGAACTTCGATTTTTCCGTCAGAACCCAAGTACTAGGCGAAAGCCAAGTTCTGTAGCAAGACTGTTGTCGGACTGTTTAGACCTCCAACTACCCGTAACGATTGCCTCGACGTTGGTGTAGCAACCGGGCCTAACGGCTTAACGTACTCTCCAAGGCATGGAGGGGTCTCAATGTGTTAAGAATGATCCATAGACTGACCTGGCCAGGATTGCTTAACTTTGCAATGTGTTAACCCACTCGGTTACCACTGAGCTACGAGCTCCGTAATCAGCCTATATTAAATATCAGTAAAAATAATGAAACTAAGTTTCACTTTCGTACCTGATATAATTCTTACTTAGATCAAGTAAATAACACAAATTCGTTTTGTAGAAACAATAAAAGTGGTTCGAAAATATTTTTTAAACAATACTGTTATGGAAAAAATCTAAAACTATGAAGTTAACAAAAATTTATTTTTGCATATGCATGCAAGACCAAAATTAAATTTAAGTGGTTTAATACATCTATCCTAACTTTGTTTATTATCTTGCAATGTTTGTATTTTCCAAATATCATTCTCAAAAAAATAATCCTGTAGTACATAAAATCTAATCTCTACATGAAATCCTTTGACAGTTTGTTTTTCAAATACATGACATTGACGAAATTGTGGCAAACTATTCCACAAAGCCATTAAACAAAAGTTGAAGTTGCAAAGTTTGCAATGAACTGGCCATATTTATCATTTTTAACTTTAAGAATATCAGCTATCGCCATTAGCAAATATGTCACAACACTTTAGAAAGGTCAAGGTTATAAATATAATATATAAACATTTGCTTGCTATAAAAATGCTGCATGATACATATAACAAAAGTTAAAAGATGATGGTATTAAAACAGCATAAAATATATAAACATAATATATGTTTATATACTTTCATGATACACAACCTGTCTATTAAAAGGCTTAAATAAAAACAAACAAGCTATCATGACTTAGATTTCCAACATTCATCATATTAATGATGTTTACATAATAGAATAATTAAAAGTTATTAATGACAATATAGAGATCTCTTCAAAGATAATAATATGCAATAACATGTTAAAAAGGTAACTATTATTAAGGAAATTTGACCAAAACAGCCATCATCAATTTAGCAGTCTATCAGATACTATGCTCAACTCACGGGCACATTACTTTCTTTCAAGATAAAAAGTTTTTACCTACTTGATTTTATCAAAATTGGTCAAGCCATTTGAGCATGAAGAATTATACAAACACACTCACAAACTTCCCCTTTTATTTTATTAGTGAGATTAGTCAAATCCACACAATCCACTTCCTTAGTTACATACACAAGCGGAAGTAAAAGAGGGGTACAATAGAAATTCTTTAGCTGATAAAGGGCCTGTGTTGTACCTATAACTCTCTGATTGACTCTAGTGACCTGGGTTTGCCAGCTGAGCTTGGAGTCAATAATTAGGCCTAGGTTTTTATCAGCAGGACTTAAGGGGATGACTATGCTGTTAAAGGCAGTTTACCATGGTATAACCTTCTAGTCATATGTTGTTTCTATATATAGTGTTTCTTTTTTTAAAGAAGATTTCCAAACTCATAGTACCACATTTTCAGCAATAGTTAAACTGCATAAATAACCTACATGGTCAAGATGGATATTTGGTCATAGTTTAAAATATAATATATTCTTAAAAATATAAATATATTCAGAAAATATATGTATAAAAAAATCTGAGTTAAAAACAGATCCATGTTCATGTGAAAATAGTAAGTAAAATCTTGCTCCCTATTCAATTTATTTTTTTCTTTTGTGAAGTAGAAGTTTTTAACTTCACTGATTATTTCATAAGTATGCATAGATTTAACTATAATTATATGTTGTTTACTAACTAGTTTACTATTTAATATTATTTACAAAATAATATAAAATGTTAAAGAATATGTCCAATGTTCCTATTACTGTTTTGTGTTTATTAGAGATGGTCGTTTTAGTAAAAACGTTTTTAAGCATCGATGCCAGTGCGCGATGCCGGCATCCGATGCCGATATATTGAAAAACGGATGCCCGCAACATCCGATGCGAACTTCACCGAATGCGAGCGAGCGAGAGGCGCCAGATGACTACGAAACGGAAAACGCGGCGATGACAAGTCGAAGCATCGATTTGATGATAGATGCGGTTGTACTTGGAAGACGAAATTTTCCCCCGGCAAAACGTTGACGGGGAGTGCAGCGATCCAATGAATGGTGGCTCCGTCATTCCAAAATATACCCGACGTTGGCAGAAATATACCGTTCGAGGTGTAATATTGTGATAATATTGTTTCTGTGTTTCTGTGCCATGCGAACGGATATTCTCCAAAGCCGAGTATATTTTGAATGAACGAAGAACTCATCTTTCAAGTTCCAAATTAGAAAAATTGGTTTTTCTTAATGTCAACTCTAATTTTGTTAAAAGTAAAGACTAATATTAATTACCTTATTTATATTATGTTGAATATCGCATCTAAATAATTTACAAAGTTATAAAATAGGTATCAAATGATTTCAATAAGGCAACGTTACCGAGTAACTATCTAATATTCATACGCAGACACTTTAGCCGGCAACTAATTTTGCCTAATCGGACATCGCATAATCAAATCGATGCCAGAAAAAACGATGCCGGCATCGGATGCAGTTCACCAATTAACGATGCGCATCGATGACAAAATTTAACGAAAACGCCCATCTCTAGTGTTTATGTAATATTTACAATTAGTAACATTGACCCATATGTTTGGAGCTAATACATAAATGTCTCAATTGGTGAGGCTCATAAAAATTTAATCATACCAATGCGTCATTACATGAATGTATTGGCGTGGTTTATATTGCTTAAACTTTGTAAGACAGCTAAAGCCAGGCAGTAATGAAATTTAATATAGCATATATTGTACTATTATGAGACTCATTAAATATTAATTTACTTAAATGTTACTTTTCTTATCTGGTATTAGTTTTTCTTAGTTTACTATATTTATACTATATTACTATTTCGGAGCATAATTATGTTTATATAAAAAAATTGTACATAAAAGTTGAAAATATAAAATAAAAGCTAAAACTTAATAAAATATTTTTATTAAGTTTTAGCTTTATTTTCCACGTACCCATACAATCATTCACTCTCTCTCTGACTGATTTGGGTCAGCAAGCATATGTGAAAATAAAGAAATTACACATACATTAAAGCCAATTACGTCCCTCATTATTAATGTTTTTATTTTCAGGTATTGTGTTTTGGACCATTCTGATAAACCATTGTCTTACTCACATATAAAACATAGAAATTGTAAATTAATTCTGCAGACAAACATTTTAAATCTTCACACAGCATCCAATCATGAGGTTTATCATCAAACAGCTGTTTAATTTATCAAATAGCAACCTAATAATATTTCATTTAATACCAACATAACACTAGAACATATTGCCAACTTAATGATTTTAAGTGATTAAATTTTTTTTTTTACAATTATTTTTCATTTAAAATAAAAATAAGATGAGTGATATGATTATTTGTTATTAAATAGTAAAATAATTAGTAAACCACATATAATTATAGTTAAATCTATGCATACTTATATATTTTCAATATAAACAATAAATAACATAAGGGCTAGGTAAATCTATAGCAAAAGGCCTTTTCATCTTTGACCTGATTTAAAAAAAACTATTAAAAATGAGAATATGTCACACCCTCTTTCACCTACATTTCAAAACTTTCAAGGTTAAGTTAACCAATACAAACAGAATAATTAATTCTCATTAACATTGAACTAATAAAAAGTGACTTTTAACATTGTTTGAATTGGAATAGAATTGTTTAGGAATGTGTGTAAACATAGCATACTATACATAAATTAAATGTAATCAGTTCAAGGTATATGTAGAATGTATATATTGTATTTATTATGAACTTTATTCAAGACATTGACATATTTTGTTTGCACAAAATTCTCATTAATGAAATATTACACTACAATAAAACTGATGATAAGGTATCAGATATTGACAAGTTTATAATAAGGAAAATGTGAGATAAGGCTGGGGTGGAAATATACCTGTATGGGCGAGTCTCCTTCCGACAAGTGGGCTATCAAGCAACAGCCGGCGCAGGGACCAGCGGCCCAGCACACCGCCGCCCCAGCCACAGCCACCGCCGCTGCCACGCCGCATACCGTCTCGTTCCACCATCACAATAAACTAATACACATTACACACTTAACACTGTCTTTACCGCACCTTTACGCGAGCGACATTAACTCCGTCAGATTATGAACTACCGTTATGAAATATCGACAGCGACTGGCGAACCAGTCTTTGCACAACGCTTATTGAGTAACCGACCCGCAACGCATCTGCGAGAGAAAGTACCGATACCTAGCCTGCAGGATTGTACGTGCCAGCGGTGGCGTTGCAGATGCTGCTTCAGGTGGGGAATCTCCCTGTTACTTAGTTCCCATTGTGCTGACTGGTCTAGTTTACGATTCTAGACAGTGACTAAAACATTAAAGTGGTTGAAATAGTACCATATAATGTTTTAATTAATGACCCGAATAACTTCTAGTAAAGCGTTAAACCAAACTGTAACATTTTACAAAATAAAATGAACCGATTGCAGTGAATACGAGAAAGAAACGACGACGGACAAATACATGCACATCACAACTGTCAAACAAGAATGTGTGAGTGATACTACGGATCTGAGAAACTTGGGAGTTCAAAACTCGCGTCACAACATCTCACGATATTCTCACCTTTGTAAGTTTATGTATTACAATAACAAACGAGAAGTACTACGACTTCTAATAATTGTCTATGGTTACCTCCCAACGAGATTTCCATTTTTTAATCCTAGTTTGAAGCATTGGTATATAATCAAAAATTTACTTGTTATGATATATTGGAAAAATAACTAAAAGTAGTAAATTGGGCAGATTTTATTTTATATTATATTTCTTTAAGAGTTATTGTTACTGTATTTAGTATACTTAAATAAAATTATAGTATTCGAAGCTTGACTTTTACTTTCTTCTTCTTCTTCTTCTTATTATATGGCAAACTGTGCCGATGTCGACAATTCTGCCAATGTCAAGTGCGATGGAAATACGTGGGTTAAGAGAAATACATAAGAGAAAAGGAATTTGCAACCATTAAGTTTTCCAAAATTAGCAGGTGGACTGCATATGGGTCTTTTGATTGTGGTTAGTACACTGAAACAAACAGACAAATACGAATAAATAAAGTATGTATGTAATATATAAAGAGATAATTAGTAGACAAACACAAATAAACATCACAACATTAAATTAGGTACACAGGTCAAAGTTTGATGCCATTGCAGCGGATGAAAAACATCAAGGCTTGTAAAAGTTTTGGGGAGGAAAAGGTAAGTAGGGATGCAAAGTTAATAGGGAGGGGGATTTTCAATTTAGTTAGGTATGAATAAAGGTCTAAGGATGGATTATTTTTACTACAATTAAAGAAGATGTGGTCCAGGTTGCCTTCATCCAGGCCACACTCGCATAGAGACGTGTCCCGTACCCGAATTTTATTCAAGAAGACAGGTGAGCTGCAGTGGCCAATACGAAGCCTACATATGGTGGAGACAACTTGTTTGGACACCTTTTTAAAATTAAAAAACCAAGGCTTCGGAGGAATGCGTGGCTGTACTGAAAAATAGTACCGGCCTTTAAATTGTGCGGACCTGTTCCATTCCGCCTGCCAGGATGTCCTCAACTCTCTTTGAGGCAGTCTTAGGAGGTCGTAGTGATGGTGTACCATATGTTTCTGGTCTGCCATTGAGGAAGTAGCAGCACTTCTGGCTAACGAGTCTGCACACTCATTGCCCATAATGCCACTATGGCTGGGAACCCATACCAACTGGACCAATTTGTCACTATTGGAGCAATTGAAGAGGCTTTTTTTGATTTCTAAGATCAAGGGGCTATGGAGTTTGCTATGGAATGGATCTTTTAGCAGGGCTTTAAGACAGCTAAGAGAATCAGTAAATATAGCAGCCTTATAGATGTTGTGCGATTCAACATATAGGCATGCCTCCAATACCGCGACACACTCGCCCGTAAATACAGAAGACTCTTCTGGGCACTTAAACTGCAAAATGATTTTGGAGTTTTGGTAGTACACCGCAGCTCCAGTGTAACTATCGCTTGACAGTTTGGATGCGTCTGTAAAAAACCTCTCAAACCCTACCAAGTGGTCATCCACGTAAGCGTTAAAGGTGGAAACAGCCGAGGCAGATCCCTTAGGAATTCCCACATCCAAGAACACATTCGGCTTAAAACTAAGTATACTGTATTCAAATGAAAAAAGAGGAAGTTTGTCAAATTTTACCGTTAAATTCGTAAAGGGAAAGTAGTAGCGAAAGGATTGCAGAATCAATGGAATTTCTTTATGTGCCCAGTACTTAGAGGTATTGCAAGTTATGTCTAAGTCAGTAATTTTTGGAAGAAGAGGGTGGGTCAATTTACAAATAAATTTCAAAACAAAGCATGAAGCAAAATATTGTCTTCTTAATTTTAGAGGTGGATCTGAGCATTCAGCCTGTAATGCGTTAATGGGGGATGACTTCATGCAACCAGTAATAATTCTAAGACACCTAGATTGGATCCTATCCAGAGTTGTTAATGCGCCTTTATTGCATGGAACCAGTAGGAAAACACCGTAGTCCAATATGCTGCGCACTAAGGCATTGTACACTAGCTTCATGGTGTATGGATGGGCTCCCCACCAAACTCCGGCCAGGGCCTTTAAAATTGGAATAGTTCGTTCACATTTTGAGGCTAGATGGTTAATGTGGTGAACGCCAGTCAACTTAGAATCTAAATATACCCCGAGGAATTTAAATTTATTAACGAGAGGAATTTCCTGCAGCTGTACTTTGACATCAATCTGTGGCAGAGTCTTCTTTCCGGTAAAGACAACGACTGCGCTCTTCTGTGCAGAGAGGCTAAGGCCGTGGGATGATAGCCACCGCCACAGAGAATTAAGGGAGGTTGTGAGCGATGTTGCTGCATCTTGGATGGAATGGCTGGTTACATACAATGCCAGATCGTCGGCGTATTGTAGTATACTGCAATCATTGTTTAAACATGAGCCCATATCTGCAGTGTTGTACAATAGAGGACTCAGTACAGAACCCTGTGGCAAGCCCCTCCACGTCTTTCTCTGGTCGAACTCCTCTCCCAAGATCCTTAGGACTAGAGTTCGAGACACAAGCATTGCACATATGCAATGGATCATTCTGACCGGAAGTCTCAGCTGGTGCAGTTTTTGCCTGAGAATGGGTAGTAGGACATTGTCATATGCCGCAGTTATGTCGAGAAAAGATGTTACTGTGGACGCACCCTGCGACAGAGAAAGGCGGATATCGGTTACCAACACCGCAACACTGTCCATGGTACTAAGACCTTTACGGAAGCCAAACTGATAATTAGGTAGTAGATTCCTTGATTCCACAATCCACTCAAGACGGATTTTAATAAGGTGTTCAAGTAATTTAGGTAGAACTGATGATAAAGCAACTGGTCTGAAGCTATTTGGGTCTCCTGCATGTTTGCCAGGTTTCAAAATAGGAATAATTATTTGAACCTTCCACTTATCCGGGACCCAACCATTGATATAGCAAAAATTTAAAATGTTTAGGAAGTAGGATTTAGTACTAGAGCTAGCATTGGCTATAAAAGAGTATGGGATACCATCCATACCAGGAGCAGAGTCTCGCACATTGTGAAGAACCATGTTCAGTTCCTCCAAGGAGAAAGGCTCATCGTGAGTACCCAGCGACTGAGGTGGAACACTTGGTTGGGAGACTTCATCTAGATGTGGGACATAAGGGGGGGCAATTTTGTCTAGGAGGAGTTCAGCTGTGTCTGTGGAGATAGAGGAAGACACTGAGGGAGAGCATCCAGACCGGAACCGATTTATGTTCTTCCACACAATAGAAGATGGAGTAGATGGGGACAAAGAGGAGCAGAAGCTAATCCAACCAATGCGCTTTTTGCGTCGGAGGAGTCGCTTGGTAGAAGCAAAAACATTTTGATAATTTAGTAAATTTTGAGTTGACATGTGAGCATTGTATCTCCTTTCGGACTCTTTTCTTAGCCTAATGGCATTAGTACACTCACTGTCCCACCAAGGGGGTGAGGGAATTTTGCCCCTACAGGAATTCTTAATTTTAAAGCAGCTGTCCGCACTTGACCTAATTGCATCCACAAAGGCATCACAATAGTCCGTCACATGGCCGCGATCATCGTAGGATAGGGATCTGTAGTCAAATCTAGGGAGGGTATGAACATTGGATTCAAGGATTTGAGAGAATTTTAGCCAATCAGCTTCCGAGAGGTTATATTTTAAGAGGGGAGGGCATGATTTTTCCAGGTGAGTTGAGCTAGGGAGGGATAATAATATTGGGTAATGATCGCTACCATGAGACAAATCCGTGCACCGCCAGCAAGCAGCCGCAGCAACTTCCAGGGAGCAAATGGTCAAATCAACACAGCTTTTGTTCTGACCAGGGAGGACTCTACGAGTGGAGCAGCCGTTATTGAGAACACAGAGGTTCAAATCATCAATGATCTCCAACAAACCAATGCCAAAACTGTCACAGTGCTCAGATCCCCACCTAAAGTGATGGCAGTTGAAATCTCCCATAACTAATATTGGGCTCCGTAGGCTCTGTAGCAAGTCTCTCAATATAGGGAGGAAACTCTGCTGGGGGTGAGCAATGTAGATGGAAAGCACAGATACACTACTGATTTTCGCTGCTACAATGCTGATATCATCTGGGAATGGGGGTAAGGGGAGGGGTAATAGAGGGACTCTATTATTTATAAGGAGGGCTGCACCTCCGTAACCATCAGACCTGTCGCATCTAAGCATGTTGAAATGTGGAACATGGAAGTTGAGACCCGGTAGAAGCCAAGTCTCAGCAAAAGAGACAGCCAAAGGCTTGTATTTATTCAACAAGAACATGAGGTCGTGCTTCTTATGAAACACACTCCTCACATTCCACTGTAGGAATACTTGTTGGGATGCCATTTTTAAAGTTGGTTAATAAGTTGATGAGTGTGTTAGCAACGTTGGACGGTATACTAGAAGGGGATTGAGATAGAGGTAAATTGGAGGTTAATAGAGAAGTCAAAAGCTGTATTATAAGGTCAATAGTAGAAGTCTCGAGTGATGAGTTAAGAGCACAACCATTAGGTTGAGAAGGTTGGGGAGAGTGAATGATAGATTGGTGTGTAGTTATATCATAGGATTTGGATAGTGTAGGGCGAGGTTTAGGCTGCCGAAGAACAGTTTTTCGGTAGGACTGGGTTTGTTGAAGGGGTTGGGTAGACCGAAGGGTCTGGGTAGACTGGATGGGTTGGGTGGGCTGAGAGGATTGGGTAAATTGTGGGGTCTTTAGGGTATCAGCATAGCTGCGAGTAGTAGAAGGGACCACTTTATTTGCTTCCATATAGGAAATGTTTTTTTCCGCCATCATGATCTTAATGGCCCTCTGCCTGCCATACTCCGGGCAAGCCTTGCTGTTGGCAAAGTGGCCACCAGAGCATAGGACACAAAAGGCCCCCGTTTCTGTTACCTCACATTCGTTACTGGGATGCTCATGTCCGCACTTGTTGCATCTAGGCCTAGATCTGCAGATAGACTCCACATGACCAAACCTGCAGCATTTCCTACATTGGACGGTGGGGTAAATATATTGCTGTACAAGAAGAGAATTATAGCAGCAGAAAACTCGTTTAGGTAGAACCTGGCCATCAAAAGTGAGGACACAGGATTCTGTTGGCTTCCACTCCAAGATACCTTCATTAAATGATTTTCGGTTAAGACGCCTGACTTTAATAATCTGCCCACAGCCCTGCGGCACTGTCACAAATTTAATTACTTCATCATCATTCATGTCGGTAGGGATACCAGAAACAACACCCATTCTAGTAATGTTATAAGTAGGAATGCTGGCAGTAAATTTATAAATATTTAAGAGGGGGTTAATTAGGAATGCATTAGCATCCTGAGGGGATGAAAACTGTACGGATACTCTATTCCTTCCCACTTTTTTAATACCATCTCTGACAATATTACTTATATTGTTTTTAAAAAGAAAAAGTCCAAACGAAACAGGATGGAGAGTTGTACCAGAGCCTAACTGGCTCTCCACGCGAGAAACATGTACCATGTAGGGACCACTGTCATTGTTTGTGTATTTGTCACGACTAACAAAGGTTTTTGTTTGAGTTTGGAGACGTTTAAGAGGGGGGGCACTTACCTCATCGTTCCCATTTCGTTTCCGTGAGGTAGAGACGAGGGGCCTAGTTTCTTCCACCGTAGCGTTGCAGACCACATTGGCAAACTGTTCTAAGGGGTTGGAAGGGGTTGAAGGTTGATCGGGTAAGGGAGGAATAGGGGTGAAAGGAGGGGTTACTGGACATGGAATATCGGGAGGGTCGGGCGGTTTATTTCCGTTCATTTTCACTTACCGGTAATAATGTTTAGTTACAAACAACACACCGTAACCAAGGACAGCACAAAATACCAAAAAAAAAGACCCAATAGTCACAAAATCACTAAAGGTTTCAAAAAATTCTAGACGCACGTGCTAACCAAACGAACGACGCGACAGAATCCGACTTTTACTTTTACTTGAAAGCGAAATTTGCCGCTAAATGTCATTAACATTGTGGTTAATGTGGTAGAATTCTCGGATAATTTTTAAGTAATACTTTAAACGAAAAAGAATACCCTTATATCTCAAGGTAAAAACTCGACTTTTCGTCTACTAAATTATCTATTGCTAAATTGTCTATTAGGTAGTAATGCGTAATATACTACAAATGCAAGCTCTTCTCTTACGTACCTTCTTTATTCAATGAGCTTATTTTCTATTGCAAATCAGCTCATTAAATAAAGTAAGTAATACAGCGAAGTAATTGGAAGTCTTTAGTTTGTAATCTCTTGAAAAACTTTATGTACTTAAAACTGAGTAGACATGTGAGAATAAACGAGTTTTCTAGGTAATATCTACCTAAAACAACCGTTTGTTAAAGCCTCGCTCTTTCGAAAATGTTCGAATTTTTCTCAGCTGTCTTTTATTATTAGAGCATTGGTATTTTTATAAAAGAAGTTTACAGCTCTTTAAGCAGCTTGTCCTTTGAATATAATAATAATAATAGGCTAATAATAAAATAATAAAAATAATAATAGCGTGCATCGGCTATGGATACTGATTGCAGTTTTTTATGTGAAAGTGCTTGATGATTTATAACGTATTGTAAGTTTTACAATTTGTATTTCACAAAAAATGTACTTTTGGCAGGTTTCATCAGACGTAGTTGTAGTAAATACATTATAGTTAAATGGGGATAAATCTAGCTCGAATTCTAATGTGCTGATTTTATATCTTGGTCAGCTTCAGTAAAAAAAAAAAAATTAAACGAAAATTGACGATTTACGTGTGTTTTGTAATTCAATTAACTTATAATAAATTTTAAAACTTGCAATGCATTTAGCGGAAGCTAATACATTTTCACGTAAAGATTAGAAATGGTCACACCATCAAAGACGTCAATTCTATTAATTAGATTTCAAGTATTTAGTTATCTGTGGATTTCATTTCAACTTGGGAATGTACAAATCACTTTGTGTGGATTTAGTTTTCGTCTTATCTTGCACTAAAGTGAAGGATAATACACTATATTTCCTAACAGATTACCGCCACATTTAAAGCTGTTAGAAATTAGTATTTAGTGCTAATAACTCTGTAAATATTATTTTAAAATGAGTCCAATTCCACGCATACTTATGTGTGTTTTACTTTTGATTAGCAGTGCTCTAAGTGAAAATAAATACTCCCGTACTGCAAATGAGAAATTAAAAAGTGATGTAGATTTTAGAAACTTAGAAAAGCCATTTCGGATGAATAAACTGAATTTGTTATGGAGTAAAGCGCGTCAGGTAAGTAAATATGTTTTTCGGTTCGCGGTTATTTGGAACCAAACTAAATAACAAACTTTAATTTTTTGTCTTGTTACAGCGGTTAACAGAAACAAAACTGAAATCATTGTACAGCGATCTGATGATACAAGATAAAGAAGAGTTAATACAGAAAAGATTAAATAGTGAGGGTGGTGACAAAGAGGGATTGAAAGAGGCGGAACTACGGCGTAAGCTTACCAATATCATGTCAGCCTATGGATTGTTACACCACTTTGATCCAGATGCACCCAAACAGAAAGAACATCCAGTAAGTACATATTTATAGTTGTACATACATAACAAAAGACACAACCCAAAATCATATTGGTGGGTTGCAGAAGTGTAATTATTATTATAGATATTTGGCTTAGCAATCCTGGGGTTGACCTCAAATATTCTATGATAACATAGCCAGTGGAATAAAGCTTGTGCATAATGAAAACCTATGTTGTTTTTTTAAATTGATATTGATATAAGGCAATTATAACCTGTTGGTTTACACAGACTGATTTCCAATTTTCCACATCTCCACATCAGTTTTGGGTTGGTGCTTGGTGGACATAGTAGCTATTAGCTTTTGCCTTCTGCGCCACCCGTGTGCATGTTGTTTATCAAATCGGTGAGCTAAAAAGTAGCTTATGTTACTCGCTGATAATGTAGCTTTGTAAGAATTTTTTAAATCGGTTTAGCAGTTTAGGCATGAAAGTGTAACAAACAAATAAACTTTCACATTGTATACATCACAGGTCAATATTTTGTAAAGTGCACAATCACTAATAAAGATAAACCAATCTTTTTATATTAAGACTGTACATACTGTCATAAACAAGTTGTGAACAAAAACAGATGTTGAAAGAACTGATAAAGTCATTGAGATAAAAAGGTAATCGTTTTTACAGACAGTTGACATACTTGTTACTTAGGTGTTGATGCTCTCATTTGAAAGTGATTGTGAAATTAAAAATTTATGGTAATTATGTAAATACATATTCTTATGAATTTATTGTAGTCGCTAATGTACATTTACAATTAAAATATTATAATACAATCAAAATATTTACAACATTTACATGCAAGCATCAAAAACTTCCTCTGCATCATCACCTGCTGGTAGCCTTCCCAGAAGACTGGCAGCATTGTCACGTTGAATGGCAATACTAGTTGTTTATACATAGCATGCACACTCGGACCTCCTGAGCCCAGCGTCTCGACCCCAAACAGTTCAAAAATGTCATTTCCTCCTAAATTTTATTCATATGAATAGTATATATTAAAAAATCAATTTAAAAAATTATCCAGTAAAGGAAATTTACTATTTATTGGGTTATAATTAATTTTTTTCAATATTCAGGCGTATAATTCTGCAACTGATGACTACATAAACAAAAGTATATTCAAGGACAAGAAACTGAACTATTTGTGGTCAAAGGCGGAGAATTCAGGATTTACACATGAAGAGCTGATAGCATTGAGAGAAGAGTTCTCTCATCATCAGGAGAAAATAGACCAGTACTATGACTTGTTTGATGATAACTCTGGCAAGGATGATGGGTTCAAAAGTAGGTTTATTGTTCCTTTTTTTTCTGTGCGGAAATCCCCTCGGGTACTATCGGCGGTTATGTCAGACTCGAACCGACTAAAAACACCATCTGGGGTTTCAGTAGCAAACGAACCAGGTGTACCATAGGAGAGAAATCCCTGATACTCCAATGAAAGGTTTATTAATCTAAGAATTATTTAGTACAGCTTACAATGATTTTATTTGTCGACATTCTTCTTAAACTCATTGAATATTTCATACTTACTAAAGCATCGAGAAATGACACACATTTTTATTCAAGTATAGTCCCCTAGTATTGACTTGACCAAATTTATTAGTATAACTTCTAAATATCATTAAAATCCTATATCTTTAACAATTTTTAATACTACAAATAAAAATTTCTAATATTTCTGGCTTGCTTGTATACTAGCATACTCGTAGTCTTGTGTTTCTATAATGGTAAAACTGGAGGAAACTGTGTTGTAAATTCTATCCAAATCATCTTGAGAAACAGATTTTATGTTCCAGATGTCATAAACGAAGATGAGTTGGACAAGTTCAATGAAATCAGTGAGCACACCAATGAAATGACAAAGGACTTCATAGGTAAAGCTAATGCGATCAGAGAGAAGCACAGAGATCTCCGGGATGGATATGACAAGCTGCAAAGAGTTATTGCCAAAGGTAAGGAAAAAAAGAATTTTAAATGAGTTTGTCACTTTTGAATACAGGATTTATGTATAATCGCAGTCTTTTATAAATAAATAAGAAAAAAAAATTTATAAAAGTTTAAATTGGAACTTTATATGAAGAGAGAGAACTTGGCATAAGAACAGATAATTGAAAGTTTTGTATAAAAAAAGATTTTTTGTTAGACATAAAACTAGTTCACTATATGCAATGCAAGATGTTGTGTGCACAATTAAAAATTTATAGACATTTCCGTTAACCAATTTTATGTAAGTTTCTTTAGAAGTGGAACAAGAGGCTAAGTATCCATAAAACTAGTGCACGCAGTGTCGTGAAACTGAGTAATATTTCTATTTCAGAAAACGTATGTAGCACAGAATTTAATAGTACTCTATTTGTAGTATAAAGTATTCTGCATTTAGATGGCAAAGATAGGGCACATTTCTCATAGGATACATTGACAAGCGTATTAAGGGTTATGGGTTTTATTCCCACAGAAGTAGGTTATTATGTCTATTTCATAGATGTAAATCGAAGTATTGTCTATTCACACTAGTCTCATCCTTGTTAATCTTATTTTATGCCGCTAGTCTCAGTAGTTTGGTTGTTTTATTCGGAGTCGGGAGTATAATAGCAAGAAACTTTCGGTTTTCTGATATTATTTCATTTTATTAAACCCCCAGACAGGCAAATGTGCAAATTGTATTAATACAGCAGGTTATTTTTATACAGGACCCAACAACAGAGAGTTCATAGAACCCAAGGTCCAAGGATTGTGGAAAATTGCTGTAGCTGCGAACTTCACTGTAGATGAACTTGCTTCTTTAAAGGTACGGTAATCTATAATGGAAACTAATCTATGCAAACCAAGAATATTTTTTGTAAGTATTATTTATCAAGGCTAGTTTTGTCATTTAGAAAATCAATTTGTTCGTAAATTAGTAGGACCCACATTTTTTTACTTTGACTTTTGGACAAATCACCGCAAAATAATACAGGAACTTGAAAAAAAATAGTGTTGTACGGGGTCATCAATTACTTTTGTATCTTCTCCTGTACGTAATTAATTATGATGAGTATTCCCCAGGTGGAACTACAGCACTACGAGTCGCGGCTGCTGAAGCTTCGCCACTTACGAGCGGACCATGTAAGCAATCGTGAAAAGCATAAGAGCAAGGTTATTTATTTTTTTATGTTTATTTTCGCTTTAGTCCAAAAAAGCTTATTGTGAAGATGTTGGAAATATTTGTTGCAAGTTATGGGGAAGTTCAAGAGTAGAGCCACGGTCAATGATATTATATACAAACAAGATACGCCACCAACGCACAAAACGCGTGCTGTGAATTGGTCTGCACTAATTCGGGAAAATTCATAAAAGCCTTACTGTGTATTCAGAAAATGCACAAATTACGACAAATAGGTAATATATTAAATAGGTAATATATTACGACAAATAGGTAATATATTAAATAGGTAATATATTACGACAAATAGTAAATATCTTTGTTTACCTTCTTTTCAAACACAGGCAAGTGTATGTTTTGTTCTAAAATGCATTCTTGGATGTGTGTATAGTGTTACGGCACAAATATTTCGTGCGTGCAGTATGAATATTACGTATCTGTCTTAAAATATCATTGGCCACAGTGTACTGGACTTTAATTCCACCATAATAATGATTTGACAGAGTTGATGTGATGATGATTTGACCTCGACTGCAGTGATACCAGGGCCTCACACATCACATCAACAGCCTTTAGTAGTCCACTGCTGGACATAGGGCTGTCCTTAGAATGGAGGTTTTGTCTTACTATACTGGCCAGACAGGTTGGTTTCAAGTTTTCCTTCTTAGTCGGCTCTTATGACACCCACGGGAACACTCCGTATTTCTAATCCGTCACCACACGGAACACAGACCCGCCCAAACCTGTCAACCAAACCCTCCCACTGACTAGGGGACTTACGAAAGGGCGTCAACGCACTGTCCATGGGTGGTGGTAGCCACTTACCACGAGGTGACCCGTCTGCTCGTTTGCCACTCTATACCAAAAAATAAGTAATTGGAATTAATCTATGAAACTGCTTTCTTTTTAAATGAAATAGTTTCTTTTTTGTTTATGTTCATGTAATAATGTAGTCACACTAAATACTAAAAATCACGTAATGCACGTATTGGTCATCCACCTGTTTTTAGCACAATGTCTATTTTTATTGTTACTCGCTTGTGCTGTATGGCTCGCTTATTTTAAAACATAATATATCATGTAAAGAATGAGTTACCATAACCGTAAGTAATACACTTACGACAAAAATTATTTAAATACAAGAAACATATACCTAAGAACAGTTGTTGCGTGTCAATCCTTATCTATTGTAATAGTTAACACAGCTTTTCCTACCACAGACACCAGTCTCTCACAAAGAAATAATAGATCGACTGATCTGTATTTCCTAAGTTGTACCTATCTTTGTGATGAGAGTAAAAATACAATATTTGTTATTAATATTATTATTTAAAAAATGATGAAGATGACCAAAAAACAAAAGAATCTCGTAAAGCTTCATTTATCATGTCACTCTTTTGTTTATACAAACCATTATTGTTACAGGTAGCAGCAGCTGGAGACAAGATCAACCATTTTGAAGAGCAAGAACAAATGATCAAGAAACATTCTAGAAAGGTAGAGAAAATGCACAGCGACCTAGAGAGCAGAATATTAGAGCGTCATACAGAGCTATAACATTATGCTAATACATTTCTATTGCATTTAGAACATCATAAAACAACTCTACCAGTTTGAAGATCAATTTCTATAAATTAAAATACTATGTGTGGAAATGAGCAGTCTTATAAATTCTTGCTCAAGTGTAATTTTTTAATGAAATGTCTGCATCATAAATTATATTTTATGGTATAGTTTTATATTGTAAAAAATAAGATATTTTATACTTTATGTATGTAGCAGGAATGAAGTTAAATCTTTATAAAAAACAACAAATTGTGGTTTAAATTGTAAATATGTATGAATCTCAATAAATGTAAGTTATTGTATAAATGCACATTTTTATTGAATAAGCCATAAACATTATTCAATTACCGTGGGGAATCATGCTTTAGCACAAATGGGGTCGTCTTGACGGGAAGTTCTAAATTGTTCTATGGAATATGACATCATAGGACATGTCATGGAAGATTTTGGCATATATCAATGTAGACTCGTGGTCACACCAGTGACTAACCGGTTTTTTTTCTTAATTGTCAAACACCCTCCCTTTCGCAACGGCAGCGGTAGTCTTACACCTACATGAACAAACTTATGAGATAACAGTAATAGAAAGAGGCAGACTCTCATGTTTGGACTAAGAAACCGTTACGAGCGTGCGCTGCGAATTTGAAGTTCACGTGGTAAATTTTTATCTATATGACAAAATCACAGTGTACTATGATTTATTATTCACTTTTTGCATACGTAGGTCAGGGTTGCTAAGGTTAGCTTTTTAGTGAGTACTAACCCTAACGTACGTACCAAATAATCGAATGATAAATCACCGTTCTTTCACAGTTTTATCTCATGCCTATAAATAATTTAGAATACTCATATCATCTGTCAGTCCTATTGTGAAATAACTTCCCTACAAGCTACCAGTACAGTTCCTATGAAACGCCTTCTAAGGCTTGTTAGTTTTAGGTAGGTACACACTACAGTACAGGCAAATGTACTATTGATTTAGGATGCTGTCATGAAATTGAGCTACTACTCTGACGCGCCAATCCAAAACAATTACTTCTGAAAACGACTTTTGACCTTGAAAGCTTTGTTACAGTTTTTTACCATGTTAAAACCCTAATTTCAATTCAATACAGTATTTTTTTAGATTATAGTCGGTACTAAACCGACGTAAAGAAACTGATTGAGCATTGTTAAGGCAAAACACTAAGTCGAGTTACAGTCTTTTGGTTTGGCACGGCAGTACTGGCGACTCTTAAACGTTTATTTTCGCCAGGAGTTTGCGAGATGTTTTAACTAATAAATAAACGTGCGTTGCTTTTCATCGGCGATAGTTATATACTAGTCATCGTACATCTTCTATTCGGCGTGTTCCTACTCAGATAAATGCACCACTCACCCTTATCTGTTATCTTAAGCATTAGCTTAAACAATCAAAATTCTTTGGAAGCCTTTTCACCAGTCATTTCAATTTCTTCATCTCCTGAAATACCTTTGTTACTACGGACCATCACGTAGGAATAGTCGCTACTTACCATCAGGCCTTATGCCAAATTACCGTCTACGCGTTGTAAGACGTCAACAAGATAATTAGTAAGGTGAATCATATGTGTACGTACCGTATATATTTGATGTGTGACAAATAAATACATCTAAATTGACTAAGGGGTTAGATTTTCATGAGACAGTAGTATGCATGTTCGCTATGGTCTTTCAATATAATAATTGCCCCTCTTAATGAAGCTTTGGTAGCCTTCCTACGTTGGTAAATACAATTCTTATAGTTCACAGTGGAGATCTACGTCTCAATACGTCTCAATCAAGGCTAATAGATCACTATGTAATGATGTACAATAACAGTTTTGCTCATTCGTAAACTCAGACAGATTTCGATTGAACAATAAACACACTTAAAAAAAGGTATAAGTGTGTAAAATAATCAGTTTTTTTTTAGAAAAGAATAGAATACCAGTTTATTGATTTCAGCATTACAGCAATTTTGTAAAAATATACAGAAAAACTATAATACCGAAAGCAAAAGGTCTAAGCGTCAGCTTATGCTTGGACTTCACATGGATTACCAAGCGCTGGTTTTCAGCTTAAACCTTTAAATGTGCTATTTAATACATTTTAAATATCACCCTATTTACCAGTTCTGCAAAATGGTGGCACTAATAAATAATGTTGTCATCTAATAGAAGAAGAATTATGTTTGTCGTCAAGGTTATTAACATTTATATGACATGACATGAATATTAGTGTGTTGGTGACAATGTTGTGTAACTTGTAGTGTAAGTAGTAAGAACGTCAAGTGTGAGGCCGATTGAAGAACACACGTTAGATAATTTGACAACGGTTTATTTGCCTAGAACTTACCGTATATCCTGCTTTTAAATCATATTCGAGACAAAATAAGTCTTCAATAATAATAATTTACTTATAAATATACACATTGCCCAAATAAACCTATTAAAAAAGAATCATTGAAAAATCAGGTGGTATTATTAAAAACACCAGTGGTTACAGTGCATCAATATATCGATATTTAATCTTCATGTACAAGCAAATTTATTAATACATGTTTAATATTCCGCCTCGGTTGTCGAGCGTTCCAATCATCAAAATTAATATCGCATTATGCCATAATATAGTGTAAAAATGTATAATAGACGGCGGCGGGCACACGAGCCCGCGCAAGGCAACTCAAAACACTCAGCGGCACTTAGGAATCACATTCCAAGCTACCTACTATTACATTCGTTTACGCATATATATCTACATCAGATGAAAACGGCGACGCCGACTATCACTATAATTCGTCTAAACGTAACGTCGCGGTCGGCGAGCGGCAGTAACAAATAAAACTACATCCGACTCCCCTCACGAGTTTCATTATAATGAATCGTTTAATGCTCACTTCAGTCGATCGTACAGTATAAGTAGTTAGTTCTCTTCTCGATAGGACATCTTCTCTATTATGTATATAGATAATCTGTATAATATAATTCTTTCTCACTAATATCTACACCGGCGCCGAGGGTCACAATTATATATAATCCTCGTCGGCTGGGGGCGGAGACGGACCGCGCGGCGACGGACCCGTCCGGCCCGGCGCCCGGGCCTCTAGTGAGTCCATTTACTCCATGTCTGCGAACAAACGTTTGTCTTACATTCGATATTCGTCTTCTTTTTCTTATTAGGTGGATTTCTATCGATTTCGACCGATTTTTCTGTTTCAATATGTCACCGATATCAGTAACAACAGACAAATCGGTCGGCTTCGTAGTGGCCTAGTGGCCTCGTGCGGGGTGTGTGTGGGGCCGCACCTGTTTGTCGGCGGCGTGGTGCTGCGCCTGGTCCCAGTGCGGGTGGTGGTCGGGCGCGGGCGCGGCGGCGGCCACGGGCGGCAGGTAGTGCAGCGGCAGCGCGTGCATCAGCGACAGCGCCGCGGCCGTGGCGCCGCCCGCCGCAGCTCCGCCCCCCCCCACGCCGTACCCGGCGCCCTCCAGCCCGTGTCCGACGTTCACGTGCGCTCCGACTGCGCCGATTCCGCTCACTCCCTGTATCCATAAAACGGCTCCATCAGTACCGATATACATATGTCACTCACTCATGTCGACCGAAGCATGCAGTTTTCTTGAATTCTAGAGAGTGCAGTGTAGGCTTTCACAATCAACACTTTGTACTAGCAAAATTTCATTTTTATCTCAAGATATTAGTAATTTGCTCAAAGGCTCTACAAAACTTACTTGGTATCTGTCATGGTCGGCTAGGTGCGGCTGATGGGGCAGGTGCGCGTGTGCCCAGTCATCACCGCCGATGAGTTTCCAAGCGCGCTCAGTGCCGATAGGTCGAGGTTTGCGCTCTTCCTCCTCGCCCCAGCCACCGCCACTGTTGCACACGTTACCCACGTTGCCAACTCCTACACCTCGCTCCAGAAGGGACTGGAATATATCAACACAGTTTTATATGCGCCAACATACATGTCAAACTAAATTGCCAACATAGTTTGCTAGCTTTGCTTGACAACCATGTTGACAACCATGTTGACAAATATGAAACTGGTGCATGTTTTTTTTTTAAAGTAAATATATATAAATTGCCAACATAGTTTGCTAGCTTTGCTTGACAACCATGTTGACAAATATGAAACTGGTGCATGTTTTTTTTTTAAAGTAAATATATATAAATTGCCAACATAGTTTGCTAGCTTTGCTTGACAACCATGTTGACAAATATGAAACTGGTGCATGGTTTTTTTTTTAAAGTAAATATATTGACGAACAATCAAATGACCCATAAAGATGAATCGTTTTAGTGTCCGTAATCACTGGATTTTTTATACAGCAATAGTTTATAAACAAAAGAAGAGAATGCTGAAGTCTCTGTAAATGTATTAATCTGATAACAAAACATCGCATGTTCACTCAATTTGTTGTTATATGTATACATTAGATACGCACCTGGTAATGCGGGTGCGGTTGCGGCGCGTGCTGCATGGGTTTTGGTGACTGGTTCATGGGTTGCTGTTGGTACGACATCAGCAATGCGCTCAAATTGCCTGCGTTGCTCGCACCCGCGAATAACTGAAAGTGTACATGAAAACATTTTAATTAAAAATAAAACTGAGAATTTTAGGATTGAAACATTAAAAGTAAGTAATTTGTTCCTAGCAAAGTCTGAAACTTATGTGCTATTTGATACAAGAAATATTTGACTTGAAAGTCACTGTATTAATAATATGTTCCCTCTAAGTTGGAACATCATATCCTATTCCTTCATAGCCGAACAACTGGGCCTCAATTCTGCTATTTTATGTTGACGCCAAGCCACTGTCATTCCATTGACACGCTATTGATGCCATTGAGACGCCATTGACATTGGTCAAAATATTAGCACACGACTAACATTAATTCACAGTGACTGTCGATATAGTAATATAGGTCACCAATGGTGATATAAACAACATTGCCATACCTGGAAAATTAATAATGTCATTTTCTGACAAATTTAAAATGTACAATTTACCAAACTTACAAAGAAATCGACGACATTTGTATCAGTGATAAGTCATCCGGAGGCCCCCTACATAATTAGCAGAATAGGAAAAGTGGAAAACTATTCTGATGACATTCCATCGACAGTCTGATACAATATTAAAATAGCAGAATTGAGGTCCTGAACATAACAATTTCTAGTTCTAGTCGTGCAATGATGACGTTAGCAGTAATGACTGTTTGAAGCTATGAACTGCTATCGAGTGTACCTGCGCGTTGTGCTTCTGTTGCATGAGAGGGTGCCTCTGCGCAAAGTCAGGTGCTCGGGGGTTGAGGCGCGATACGCTTTCCACGCCAACGTAGCCCAGCCCCATAGCTGCACCGCTCATGTTTACACCACTGGCGATCGATACTTGCTGCTACAATAATTAAGATATTTCAATATTAGTTTTACATAATGATTTATTAAAGTAATTAGGAATTCTGAATGTAATGTATGAAGTTAGTATATGTATATGTGTTTACAGGAAGATATTTGGAACGCACTTAAGATATTTGGATGCATGGGTATTCTAACTATTATTATCAAGTTAAAATTTATTTACTATTCTTGAAGGATATTAAATTGATTGACAAAATTTATATTAATAGCGTTCATCGAGACTGTCCCACCCCTAAGGGTCATAGCGTGGTTTTAAACAGCATTTAACCATCTTTAAGGAACAACATTCTAGAGGTTTCCGCGTCCGCCATATAGTTCCAAAGATTAATGTGTTTAAACCATCCAACAACAAACTCTTTTGCGTTATCGTGTTAATTGAGACAAATCCTTCTCACACGTCCACTAGTGTAACTCCTGTCCTGTACACCAAGATCAACAGCAGTGATCCACAAACACCGAGTCATGATACTCGGGAAGTTCCAGGAAAAGGTAAACTGTTAAACTTGGAACCCGTTATAAAATTAATCCAAAGTAAATTGGAGGAGTGGGAAATAATCCACTTCTTTCCTTAGCAAAGCGGGCGATGAAAAATAATTAAAAAATACACGTGAATGACGTTAATTAATGCTTGATGATTTGTACAAATATTAAGCCAAGAAGGTAAATAAGCAAAACTGTAATTCTCTAAGAAAGTATAATATTTATATACCATCATGTTGTGTCCATTGCGGGAGTTATCTTGGTAGATAGGTCCATTTCGGGAAAGTCCACTCATATCCATCGCATTCACGTTGTTACCTGAAGGCACAGAGAAACATGTATATAAATGATCTGTCATTATAATAAAGTATTTTACGTAAATTACAATTAGGATTAAATTAAAAACGAATCGAGGGCAATGCAAGTAGATTCATGAAAAAAACTCTCTTTTTTTAGTGTATTATTTTTAAACGCTTAATTAGCGTTTGGATTTTGTGTGAATTAGCTCAATTGATAAGTAAACATGAAATATTACTTGAATGACACGATACCGTGGGGGGTTCTAAACTGGTACTCTACGGGTAATAAATAAAAAAGATTAGATGTAGGTTTTCTGTAGGACGGCGACACTCACCGATGGGCATGGGCTGGTGGTAGGCGGGCGGCGCGTGGTGCGTGGGCGCGTAGGCGGGGGGCGGCGTGGAGCCGTGCGACGACGTGCGCGAGCACGGCGAGCAGCCGCCGCCTGCGCCTGCGCCGCCCGCGCCTCGGTAGCCCGGCGCCTTGCTGGCGTCCGCCATCGACACCAGCTGCTGGCCACCACACGTTCCACAACTTAGTAATGTAGCGGTACACAAACTCAATCTCAAAATAACTTTAATTTTATGAAAATTTTAAAATTCTTTGAATAAATCTCTTCTGAGATTATAATCTAATTATATACCAGTCATCGAGTCAGTTTCCAAAATAGAATTATTTCTCTTTTATTGAAACCTGGTTTCCAATAAAGAAAAATAATTCTGTTTTCAAAATGGTTGCCAACACAGGATGTTGGATCTCCTTTTGAAACTCTTCCAATAATATATCTACAAACTCTTTGATTAGAATGAATTGCCTGGCTGTGAGAACTGGGAGGTTCCAGGTACATCCCCTCTTTTTTCAGAAATGAATTATATTTACATTTTAACACTATTTCAGCAAGTAACCATTACTCGAACTACATATATATATATTTTAAAAATTCATTAAGGATTCGATCAACACTAGATTTCTGTCATTACTGATAGTGGGATAACTTCTTGTTATTTTACATAAGAAACTTGTAAGACACCAGGAAATTATCTCTAATCAAGAGGATTGTAGGTTGGTAAAGTTTCGAAAGTAGATCTAACCTTCCGAGTCAGTAACCAGTTTCGAAAACAACTTTATTTTTCTTTATTGGAAACCACGGATGGCGTAGTGGTTTAAGCGGTCACCACGCTGCTTACTACTATATAGTAGTAAGCAGCGTGGTGGCGTGGGTATGGGTATGGTCCCATAGATATATATCTATGGGACCATACCCATACCCATATCTACCAATATGGGACGACACTTTGTGTAATCCACTAATCGTTGTTCCGAGTCTGGGTGTTCTCTGTGTCTGTTTCATGTAAGTTTGTAAAGCTCCCCCCCGAGACAAGATATATTCCTAATGCGGAAGTTAAGTTTTTAAAAAGCAAAACAAAAAAGTGAAATAATTCTTTTTTGAAAACCCGTTTCCAACCATTAGTTTCTAATACGGCCGAAGGGATATATTGGCATGCCGCTGTTATGTTCATTTCTTCAAATTTGTGAGAGTAAGCGGTTACCTGCGGTGGCTCGACGTTGTGGTGCGCGTCGCCGGCCGCACCCCACACGGCGCCGGCCGACAGGTCCTTGAACAGCGAGTACTCCTGCGCACCGCCGCCGCCAGCGTTAGCCTACGGACACCACGTTACACTTATATTTAGATCAAATATCAAAATACGTGCATATTTTATAAAAATGTTACAAAAGTGTGGTTTATCTTTTTATATAGCGTACTGAAATCGTAAATGTTTGTCATTTTAGAAAGATTTGTGATTATTAATACACATATTTACAAAAGGCATTTAGAAACTGACCCATTCATCTTGAAAACCACGTTATATTGTTATCAAATTAAAAACATACTTGTGGCGTCGTATTAATGTGAAGAGCTGCAGATGAGTTTGGTGTGTTTTCTTCATTAGCACTCCACGAACTGGAATTGTCTGGACTCAGCTGTAAACAACACAAAAACATAGTTTGATATATTTACACGAGAATAGATAGTTAAAATAACGAAAAATTCCCTTATTTGTTGAAGCTATTCCTTTTCAGTCTACGGTGCACGCATGGCCACAATGTCGATGTGAAGAGTTATGTATTTATTATTTTAATCAATATTGATTAACACACAGACAAACACTAAACAAAGCTCAAGGTCATAAAATCCTTTGATATACGAGTTTTCAATGCAGAACAAAGTGTTACAGTGTATGTCGTTTAGTATTTGTTCATAAGTTATGTTTACAATATACGAAAATGTAGTATTAACGATACAAATAATTAACGTTACAAGTAGTCAGTCACCTGCATAGTGCGTTCGGGCAAGCGGTGCGGTTTAGCGTCGGCGTCGTCGGGCTTGGAGGGCGTGGGGGCGGGGGTCGCCGGGGGCGGGGAGGGGTCGCGCGCGCTCTTCTGCGGCGACAGCGCGCCCAGCGCCGCGCCCGGGCTGGCCGCCGACGAGCTCGGGCTCGCGCCGCCCGCAGGGGTCTGCTGCTGCCGACAGAGTGATAGCATTTACTCACATTCTTTTAGATACTATTTATGCCTTATGCATGCATCCCATTAGTGTAAATGTAGAAATTTATAGAAAAATAACTACTTTGAATTTATAATAAAATTTTCAATAAAAATTATATTTGAGTCCACTAAGTTCGAATTTTCTAGACAAGAACTTCAAAAACAATGGATAGAAAAAAAAATTTAGGCTTTTAACAAACAATTCATAATAAGCACAACAACCTTTAATGAGGTACATACTTTTATTAAATTTTACTTGTTTCAGTATCTGTTTGCAATCGATTACTGTTTTCGATGGAATTAATTTATTTTACTTATCAGATCGATTTGTTTTATAAATAAAGATGTATATTATGAAAAAAATATTTTAAACAGTTATTTTACGCATTATGAAATAGATTTATACGCAAAATAGATAATCATAACTATGTTTACCTGGTGTGTAGTCCGTAGTTTAGGCGTGTCAGACATGGTGGGTGTGGACGTGGGCGTGGGCCCCGCGGTGAGCTTGGCGGCGAAGGTGTGCGGCCGACCGCCCACGATGACCCCCGTGTACGTCAGCGCGCCGGTCGTCTTACATCCCCCGCCCAAGCTGGTGCTCGACGTGCTCAGCGTACTCGACGTCGGTATTCGTTTGTCACCGGTTGACGCTAAAAGTATATTTATTTACGTTTTTATAACAAATAAAAATGGGTACAACAACGAAGAGAATATAAGTGATACATAAAAACTAAACTGATGATAGATTGTTAGGTTTTATTGATAAATTTTACAGATGGTCATCTTAACCAAGAATAGTCAGAGCCTGTGCTATGGTAACTAGAGTGATGATACATATGCTTCCATGTTTCGAAATACATCCATATTTTAAATTAATTACAACTAGACATGGAACAAACGACCGTGCTTACCATACATTACTTGTCCCTGGCGAGAATCGAACTCACAACTCCAGCTTAGCGGTAAGAATTACCTTCTTAGATCAGAGATTCCCAAACTATTTTAGACAAGAGACCCTTGACTGATACCTCAGACCCCCGAACTGAATTCGAATCACTGCACGCTTGTCTACTTTTTGAGTTTTTTTAAAGTACAACAGTGATACTTACTACTAAAATGTAAGTCATTCTTATAACAAGTTGGTATACCTACGTAACACAATGAATAATCTTGAAAGTTTGGAATTAATTCAAATAAGAACTTGTGTTCATTTATAGCAGTCGATTATTAAACTTTGTGGACCCCCAAAATATTTTTTTATTTATGTCAACCCCTAGGAAACCGATATCGACCACTTTGGGAAACCTTGCGCTAGATTAACACGCTGGTCAAATATATAAAAATTAACCATAAGAGTGTACGTTAGAAAATAGAGTAGTCAATTAGTGTGAAGTAACAATCTATACAAATAAATAAAATTGAAGTGTCTGTTTGTAATGTCAAAATAATAGGTTATTTTCATGCTTCACACGTTATTTGCACGATAGTTTAAATATTCTGTCTTTTTGTTTATGCCGGGAAATCTATAAAACGGCTGGACCGATTTTGATAATATTTTACTACCAGGTAGCTGTCCTATATAAGGAGTAACTTGGGCTATAAAAATTGGCCCGACCAGGGAATCGAACCCTCTAAGGCAGCGCTTTTCAAATTCCACGCGAACGAAGTCGCGGGCACCGGCTAGTATAACAATACATGAGCGGTACTGACTGTGCGGGGCGGCGCGAGAGGGCGCCAGGCGCGCGGCGGGCGCGTGCTGCTTGGGCGCGGCGCGCGCGCTCGCGGCCGTGCCCCTCGCGCTGCTGCTGCCGCTCGCTCCCGCCTGCTGTGGACCACGCACTGCTTTTACTACCTCATTATCTCTACTAAATACATACTAAACGACAACATGTGTCGGATTAGAATTCAGGTAATCTGAATTCGTCCGCGAGGCGATTCGAGGGAGTTCGCGGGGATGGATCAACAAAAGATAAATATTTGTCTTTCCCGACATGCAATAAAAAATCTTACGCGAAAAGTTATAATATTATGTTTTTAATAAATTCGTAGGCACTTTTAATATTAATGAAACGATTAGTGTTTACCTTAGGCGGAGCTTGTTTGGGCGTCTTGGGCTGCAAGGGCAAAGGTTGAGGGGCAGGCTTGGCAGTGGTGCGCGGCAACAATTGTACGATATCCGCATCGGGGTCGCGAATCATAGCCGCGATCAACATACCAGCCTGTCGTGTCGCCTCTGCCGATCCCCTGGAAGATAAAACATATCTCTATAAAATCCAAACTAAAAACATTTAATTTTAATAATCATAATATGTAATACATTTCGACACAACTATTACCCAATGGTAATAGAGGCCATAGTATAAGTTTATTTCGCATCCACTCTATCGTCACGGTGACCGAATAGCTAAAAATTTCGGTGCGGCCTAATCGAAGGTTATTGTGAGGATCGAGCAGATGTAAATTAATCTCACACCAGGGCCTCAATTCTGCTATTTTATGTTAACGCCAAGCCATTAACTTTCCATTGAGACGCCATTGACATCGGTCAAAATATCATTATTCTACTAACATAAATTCACAATGACAATAGACTGTCGATATAATAATAAAGGTCACCTATGTTGATATCAACAACACTGCCATACCTAGAAAATTAAATATATCATTTTCTTACAAATTTAAAATGTACCGTTTACAGGACTGTTACAAAGGCATCGACGACATTTGTATCAGTGACAAGTCATCGAGAGGTCATTGGTCTTACATTGTTAGTAGTATAGGAAAAGTGCAAAAGTATTCCGACGACATTCCATCGACAGTCTATTGATACAATATTAAAATAGCAGAATTGAGGCCCAGGTTCTTAGCTCATCTTATTAGTTATCAAAACATCACTTTTAAAAGTATTTAAAATGTATATATTATGTTGTAGCAAATGTTATTTTGTTAGTGAGGTAGTACTAACTTGATGGTGATGATCCGTTCGCCCTGCCCCTTGCTCTGCTTGTCCACCTCGATGTGCGCGCCGGTGGCGGACCGGATGGCGTTGATGTTGCTGCCGGCGCGGCCGATCACGCGGGAGATGGCGTGGGACGCCACTGACACTTTCTTACATCTACAATACAACATTGCTCACATATACATAGTTCTTATTGATACTATCACAGCTTTTTAATACAACGAACTTATTTTTAAAGCCATAATAAAATCACAAATATTATTTCCAGAACAATGTTATCACAATAATTTAAACTTGATTTTCTAAGACTTAAACATATATCAAACTCAATTTAAAGATTTTCTCCTTGACATTATCAACCTCTATATGTTTAAAAGAAAATATTTTTATTTTTATCAAGCATTATAAGATATCTGCTGTTGCAGATATTCAAATTCTCTAGTTCAGACATAGTTCACATGTGAACCAACTCCTAAAGACAAAAAACCATGTTCATATTTTACTTATGCCATGCTCATGAAGGGTGTGATCTTGATGTAAAGTCATCCCCCTAAATATCTTCAAACTTTTTTTAAAGAGCCCAAACTAATTATTTTGCAGAATTTTTTATTGTCACTTACCCAGGTTCTACGGTTGAGAGCGTCTGCACACTAGACTTGCGAACAACCTCTTTCCAACCTTCTTCCCGGCGACCTCCCACGCATCCACCTTTAGGAGAGGTGCTTTTGCCTTCAGTCTCCCATCTACAATTGTAACACTATGTAAAAACACTTATCCACACACAAAACTTACTGAGTTGGTAAGATCAAAATTCTATGAAATAATTCTGCTGAATCTTTAATAAAATATAATGGAATACCAATAGAATGATAAATTTAACATTATAATTCATAAAGGTCAGTTATTCACATTTATACCAAATACATACACAAACTTATGAAAATGTAAGTAAGTATTGATGCTAAACTATCAAATACGAACTGTATTTATAGTCTTTAGAAAAACATGTTTTTATTAGAAATAAATGAGTTGTTTCGCAATATAAATACATGTAATTTGGTAGAGTTAATTAGCACTATTAGTTTAAGCAGTCTGTGGTTACACATTAGTTTAATCATTTCTGCATAACATTGTTTAAATAAATTAGTACTAGTTACAATAATATAAAAATCAGGTAAACATCTCCGAGTTAAGAATATACATATCACAGTTTTAGATCATTAAATTCTTTTCAAAGTCCACCCCCCTTACTGTACATTTTACTAGCATTTAAATTATCATTAAAAAAACGATTTGTATGAAGCATGCGTATATACTGGTCAGCATTCTTTGCCAGTTATAGCACTGACTCATGCCTTTGCATGATTAGTCCCAATAATAATAAGCAACTGATCATAATTAAACAAAAATAACATTTCAAAATCAATGTCAATGGTCATGCACAAAAAAAAACAATTTATACTTAAAAATAAAGATCATGCAAGTATGAAGCACGTTCATAAAGAATTCAATATAATATACGAGGGCTGCTATTTATGTATCCGGAACTGGCCAGTTACAGAACAATATTAAAAAAGGAATTATAACATTTAAATATGCAACTCTTTGCCTGAGGAATACAATTTGTTTTATGTAGCTGTCATTTGTTTATCCTTTGTGTCGTCATTTTGAAAATTGCGTGTCTCACTTTGGATTTAATTAGTGAAAATTTTAGTTACTTACTAAAAAACAGTGCATCGGTCAACTCACTTCGACTTTTGGGGACGAAGTACCATCAAAAACACTGGTTTAGTGAGTTTAATCGGGTGCGGGCTGTGCTCACGGACGAATTTAAAGAAGGTGACCCGAAATCGGTTGTTGTACATCAAAATATTGACGCTGTGCGGGAACTAATAATGCAAGATCGTCATGTTACATATCGCGAGAATAAACATATCGCGTCTCTTGGAATAAGTATGACGCATATATATAAAATATTACACACACATTTAGCTGTAAAAAAAATCTGTTCATGTTGGATGCCGCACAAATTGAGAATTGACCAAATCGAGCTCGTGCCGATTGGTGTAAAAATATGTTACAAAAGTACAATTAGGGTGTAAAGCTGTCTATAATATCTACACAAGTGATGAATCTTGGATATATGCGTATGATCCTAAAACTAAACAACAATCAAGGGTTTGGGTGTTCCAAGATGAGCCGAACCCAACAAAAGTCATTTTTTTATTGGTAGAGGGGGCAGACGAGCAGACGGGTCACCTGACGGAAAGTGCCGCCATCGCCGCCCATGAACGTCTGCAAATCAGGAGTCACAAACGCGTTGCCGTCCTTTTTGGAATTAGTGGTTTTTTGAGGCGTGAAGAGGCTGTTGATGCGCACGTTTTGGAGATACCGCAATCAGAAAGGAAAAAATGATACGAAAATTGGTTCCAACGTATGCAAAAATGCATCGATCATCACGACGAATATTTCGAAAAGCAATAAAACTATAATAAATGCTATGTTCGTTTCACTTTGTTATTCCGGATATATAAATAGCAGCCCTCGTATATAAATCTTTTATATAGCTTTGTGGCAGAACTGACTAAGCTGTAGCTTAGAATTTGACTCGTTTCTTTCAGCCTTACCCTTGACCCTCTAGATGCACCGTATTTCATTAACAAGAGTTTAGAGTAAAAAGTTAATCAAAAGTGCCTTTAGTTTTTTTAATTACTCAAACTGTACAGAAAAAAAGAAATTGTTAAAGATAAAACCCGCACATTTTACTCTCATTTGTTTTGAGATCGCTTTTGAATTAAGTGGTTGTTAATTTTAAGTGTTTATATATACCGGAAAATGTTACAGCGATGTTATCACCGGAACCAAGCATAGAACCGTCAGAATATAAAAATTACTGTCTGAAACCTTAAGTTTTGGAATTCTAATATAATGATAATAATTGTCGACACAATTATTAAATAACAGTATGGTTACTGTGAGTTAAAATACTGACTTGTGTGATTCTTTGTGAACATGGTTCTACCCCACGGAAGGTACGACAAAACAACTTTGACATTGATGTTTATGTTTAAATACTAAAATATAATGATGCCGCATTACGTATACATGATGATCGAACTTACTGATGAACGTGCTGTGTCTTTTTATTTTTGTCGCTTGTTTCAAAATCGTCTTTGTCCACATTAAGCCTAGTGGATTCGAATACTTGACTCTTTCTGGAGTTATTCCCGTATTTGTTAACATTCTGTACTGTAATGCTCTTAGGGTTATCCTCTTCGGGTTTTCTGCAAGAACAATATTTAATTTTAACCCCCCTACTGTTTGGTATTGTCATCTAATTTTGCCCTAATCCAAATATCAATTAGTATAAAATAAAACAAGCAAGAATACTTAATCAAACCAAAAAGCATGCATCAGAATGTACAATTATATTGAAACAAATAATCAATTAATTCTTAATCTTAATCTTCTTAATCTTGTATTATATAGATACATTATATTAAATTTTAATATCATGTATTGTCAGGCAAGCTTAAAGATGTTTGTATTTCAAGGCATACATATTACTTTTACATCCAACTATGTATACTATTAGTTCATACTAAGTTACTATATACTACTTGGTTCTTTATGCCTTGCAGTGTAAAAAGTTTCCTCACATTTATATATTTTTAAACTTTTACTTTCAAATTGCTTTTACTTTCTGCAATAACGTGCACAGTATGTACTATTCAAACTACTTTAACTACTTTGTAGACTGAAGAGTACCCCTTCAACACAAGCTAGTGCAGTTAATAAGTATTCTAGCATGTTCCATAACCTATTCATGTGACTGAAAGTGGATCAGACTCGTGAAAATTGTAACACTAATTTGCAACTTAAACAAACTCTGCATATATAATCTATTTTATAAATATGTTCCTTGAATATTTTAAACCCAAATCCACCACCTTAGCTACTGTTCGGTAATTATTAATTTAAACAGTATTAATTTAAAGGTATGATAACATAATATTTCCACACTCACACTATATACATCACACACACTACAAAACTAGAAGTACATTGCTTAGTTGTTATTTACTAGACCACTATACTTGCTAACATTATATTGTTAAATTATTAGAAAATTTTTAGATATGTATGTGCAAATTTAAGTGTATGTTCTATAAATCTACTAATAATCTAAATATCTATCTACTAATGGCATGAATAATTAAATTTTTGAGTAATTAGTTAAAATGAAAAATTGTTAAAGTCATTTAGTAAAAGAAGTGCCTAATGTCTAAAACAAAATATGTTTCTTTATATTTTCCGAGGTTGTTTTTTTGAGAACAATACCAAAAAAAAAAGATTTTAGGGCAATATTTTGGGTAACAGGCATTGTTCTGCTTGCGTCTTCTATCATAGATTTGTTTTTTTACCTCATTATAATCTTATATATAAAATTCTCGTGTCACAATGTTCGTTCCCGCACTCCTCCGAAACGGCTTGACCGATTCTCATGAAATTTTGTGTGCACATCGGGTAGGTCTGAGAATCGGCCAACATCTATTTTTCATACCCCTAAATGGTAAGGCTGACCCATCCCTAATTTTTTTTTGTTTTGCAATACAACGTTTGCCGGGTCAGCTAGTTATATCTAAAAATAACCTAATTACAGGCCGAATTAAATGGCAAGGACTGTAAAGGTTGGAATTTCGATAATCGCCATTAAACTTTGCCATTTAGCTTAACGCCAAAACAAAAAAGAGAACCTTGTGGTTAAGGTATCACAGCTCAGTAATGTACTTCTACGAATTTATACATCCTAACTACTCAAAATAAACTCAGCTAGTGTCAGTAAGGCACTCACTTGTCTTTCTTCTCGGCGGTTCGTCTGTCAGGCTGAGGAGGTGGTTTGACAGGTGTGGCGGGGGGAGAACTCGGCGCCACGTTTTCCTTTTCCTGTTTTTTATCAGGTTTGGGGGTACTTTCTTTTTCAGATTTAGCTTCTATTTTCGTTGGTTTACTCTGCAAGTAATCAAAGATAATAGTTTTCGACGTTTTTCAAAAAGATATGAAAAAAATATAGGCACATAAGTTTTAAAATTAATGAAAAAACATTCCTATTGCCATAAAAACTCTTCAGAAAGAAAAGAACGAAAATATTCCTAATTTACAAGCTTTTCTAGTAAAATTCACCGATTTTCAATTTATAACTCACTTTATCCGGTTGTTTCTTAACCGAAGGGGTAGGTTGAGGGGGTGCTGCCTTTTCTTCTTTTTTCTTTTTCTTAGACTTAGTACTCTGTACTGGAGGAGCTTTAACATCCGAGGAGGAACAGGAACCCTGTGTTTAATTTAATAATGTTATCCATAGAAACAAGCCGTACCCTTAATCTTTGTATAAATGTATTGTGTTTTACTATGATTAAAATACAATTGAATCGTTCATAAGGTCTTTGTAACTTGTCGTATGTATTTTGAAATTCGAGGAATTTTAACTTCATACATGCCACTGCGCCGGTCGGCGCTCACCGGCGTGTCGCTACCGCGTGAAAGCATTTTACAGTGTAGCGGCATTGCGCAGCTTAAGAGAGGTTAATCAGCGATAAAAAAGTAGTACAGGTCATATTTTAATATGCCAAATATCAAAGTGTAATATGCGAAGTATCAAGTCAGTGTAAATGGGTTACGTCTAGTGTTACGTTAGCGTAATGAAAGGGGTAAGTACCTGCGAATTCGCATCGATGCCTGAGTCACCCTCTTCCTTCGTAACAGGTTCGTCGTCGGGCTCGCCGCCCTCCGAGCATTCCCCGAGCGCTTTCTCACAGTACATTGAATTCTTGTCGTTTTCAGCCTGCAGTTTGCGCCTCTCCTCCTAATTTTATAAAGTAATGGTAATTGAAATGTGAAAGCTGCTAAGATTAAATTGTAACTATGCATCCATAATAATAGAACCTCGTGAATTTCATTTAACAAATACAAAACTCCTTTCTAAGGAGAGGCCATGTCCAGAATTGGACTATTATAGGCTGTTGATGATGATGATGATGATGAAATATCAACGTATAACATAATCGACCAATACTTATTTATACTTTTTGAAGTATTTTTACTACTAGGATACTTTAGTATCAAAATCGTACCTTCTTCTCAAGCTTCTTCTTCTTCTTTCTCTCTCTGCGGCGTGCTGCGGCCTGTCTCCGGCTCTCCTCGCGACACCTCTCGGCGTCGAGCTCCTCGAGAAGTATGGTCGCGTTCTGGTTAGCACGCGCCGCTTGTGTTTCCTTGGCTGCGCGGATTACACGCACGCACTCTTGGCATTTTTCTAGAAGTTCTTTATCCGATATAGTACATATGTACCTGAGGAATCGACATATTATTTTACAATTATGACGTTTACCATCATTGAAGTACATGTACAAATAATATTTAGAATTAAATGCAGAAATAATTGTTTCAATTTAAGAGATTTGAGTAGTATGAACGAGTTTTGTAATTTACCTTGTCATTTCCTGGTCTGACGGGAACTGAGTAACTACTCCGACCATCCATTTAACCACTTTAGTGTGGCCTTTACGGAAGGCGGCCATCAAGCAAGATACCTAAAAAAAAGTAAAAATAAATAGTTACTTGTTTCTAACTTTAATTAATTATAAACCTAAAAGTGTATTTCATTATGTATCTTGCCGATGATAAGTGACAATGAAAAATTGTGAAAATGCTGTCCAAATTTTCACGGTTTATTGTAATTTAGGTCAATATGCTTAGTTTTTAATAAAAGTACGGAGACTGAAAATGAAATAAACGGGGTCATAATTACTTTTCTATTATCTTGCGAGTCAATGTCGGCGCCGGCAGCATACAACATCTCGACCACCGCGAGGTGGCCGCCGTTGGCCGCTAGCCACAGGGGCGAATTGCCTTTTTTATTTTTCACCTCAACTGCCGCTCGTCTGTAACGTGAACGATAATGAATTGCATATAGCGACAGGAAGATATCATACGTATATGTTTTATGTATTATATAAGTATAGACAAACCTTTGCAGTAAGAGCTCGACGAATTTGGTGTGTCCTTTATCAGCGGCAATGGTAAGTGCGGTATCTCTCGAAGAAGGTACAGGAGGGGCGTTAACGTCTGCGCCTTTATCGAGCAGTACCCTACCGACCTCCACGTAACCACCACTCGCAGCTTCCATGAGGGGAGTCAACCCTGTTTTCGCCCGATGTTCAACATTCGCCTTACGGTCTAACAGTAAACTGACGACTTCATGCCTGCCTTGAAAGCAGGCGAGGGTTAAGGCGGTGTTGCGGTTGGTTTCGATTTGCGCGTTTATGTCGGAGCCGCAGTCTAATAGTAGTCTAACGGCCGCCGTATGACCGTTCATAGCTGCTAACATAAGAGGGGATATGCCCAGCTTTGATCCGGTTCGGGAGTTGATTTCAGCCTGTGAATTGAGTTATACATTGTTAGTATTATATTTAGTTGAGAACTGATTTGCAATGCAACAAGTTTGTTTAATAAAATATATTCGTAGTAAGCAGGGATACTTTAAAAATTAAATGTGAACAAGTTGTGACATTAGAGGTACCTGATGCGTGAGCAGTAGCCTGATGATATTGACGTAACCGCCAGACGCGGCCAGGGAGAGAGGGGTGTAGTCGGAGACGTTGCGGTGCTCCTTGTTGGCGCCGCGGCTCAGGATGAGCTCCACGACCTCGTAGCGGCCGCCGCTGCACGCTAACGAGAGGGGGGTGTCCTTCGTACGCTCCGATTGCGCTTCGATATCCGCGCCGTGGTTTAGAAGGATTTCAACTATTTTCTCATGTCCTGCCGTTGCCGCTAGAATGAGTGGAGTGAAGCCCTGGAACGAAATAGCACAAGTAATGAGTAACTTTTATTAGTAAAAAGATTAATTATTGTAAACATTCAATAACTTAAATTATTGATAATATTTTCTGGAATGAAATAAAATGTTAATGCACCATAGCATTAACATTCAATCAATCACACATCAAAACATTGATCAATCATTTTTGCATATTATTATTTATTTAAGTGTGTATTAAATGGATTTTCCTTCATTATCTTTAATACTTTTCTTTCCAAGATAAAGTTGTTATTGTTGTAATTTTCAGAAGAAATTTTACTCTACATTATATCTAATATTTGATATAATTAATTAATTCGATCCTAAAAATTTACAGCTAAATTTTAAGTTCTATTTGATTTTACAGAATAGTGATCGATCTTCTATTTATCGTAGCGTAGTGGGTACCTTTTTGTCGCGATGCTCGATGTCCGCGCCGCGCAGCAGCAGCAACTCCACCAGGTCCTCGTGGCCGCCCGCGCACGCCAGGGTCAGCGCCGTGTCGTGGTTGGAGTCCGTCTCGCCGTCCACGTCCATGGCGCAGTAGGCCGCCGGCGCGGGCTGCGGCGGCGTGGCCGTGCCGTACGCCTCGCCCGACCGGCACCCGCGACCCGACCCCGCGAAACGACCCTGTACGCAATACCCGACTCACGTATATAAACTAAAATATTTCAAATATATAAAAATATTTATAACATTGAATAAAGTATTAGAGAAACAAAAGCGTGACGACAAACCTTTACCTTCTTCGGTCGCGCGACGGAGGCGCTGTTGTAGTGGTGCGGCTGGTCGCGCTTGGCGTGCGGCGCGGGCGCAGGCGCGTGCGGCGCGTAGGGCGCCGCGCCCGCGCCCGCCGCCCCCGCGTGCCCCGGGGCGAACGTCGCCGACCTGCACCGCACGGTATGTACTGTTAGTCTATCGAAACGTTCGTGTAAAACCTCATCCCAATCGTTTTACTAATACTAAAGCTAATCCAAAAGAAACGTACGCGCGCGATATGTGAGTAAACTAATATTATTTAACGGGAATTAACGCGATCTCTTATTTAGGGTATTACATACCTCTGGTTGAGAGGTCTGGTTGAGTCAGACTCAGCTGAGTCAGCCTGTGACCACGGCCGGTGCAACCTGGTCGAAACGTCAGGCAAACCAGAGGTATGTAATACCCTAAATAAGAGATCGCGTTAATTCCCGTTAAATAATATTAATTATCATGGAACGCGAAAGTTTAAAAGTTAGTATGTGAGTAAACTACTACTAGGTCCCACTAAAACTGATATTATCGAGGAATAAAAGGTCTGTAAGATTTTTTTAAAGTTATTTAGAAAGACGTCATGACGACGGCGTCTTTTTAGCACGAAATGAAAACATTTTCCACCAAACTTAAGTAGTCCAGATCTCAATATAGTTGAGTTTTACATCTCATATAGACTTACCTATTATAGTCTTCGTAGGACAACGTAGGTGGTGGCAGTGCAAAATGAGGTTGGAGATCAGGTTGTTGAGGGTGAGGGGCGGGCGCAGGCGGTGAGGGCTCGTCCTCCTGTCGCGGCAACGTCAGTCCAGCTTCACCCGAGGGAGAAGAGGGGCGGACTCGATACTGGCAACCGTTACCGGCCTGTTCAGACAAAAGCTCTTGAAAATCCTGTAGAATAAGTGCACTTCAGAATACCATAATATTTAAGCTAATTTAAATTGAAACAAGATCGATAAAGTCAGAAGTCTGCATCAGTGTTGTAAAGGATATTTACCTAATTTTAGGCTTGATTCGCACTTGTATTCGAAACTATGCGAAAATTTCACATCACATTCCATCAACAGCCTCTAACAGTCCACTACTGGCCAGATGATGCAAATATTTATCTTTCACTAGCGATCCGCCCCGGGTTCGCACGGGTGCAATGTAGGTACTACTAATGAACCACTAATGCTACTAATGTGGTGTCAGTGTGGAATAATTAATTATACTATTATTATGATAGAACTATACTACAGGACATCTTTAAATGCAATATTTAAAGACCCGCTCCGATCCCGCCGGCCGTAGCCTGCAGTCCGTTGTTGTCGTCTGGCACCCCAAGAGTGAATCAAGCCTCCGTTAACCTTATCCACTCGGTTTGTGACGCCGTAATATCACTCTGGTCTGGACTCTGGCCATATGTGCCAAAACATGGCTCTCCCATGGTGTATTTAAATAAGAATCTTTAATAATAGTCATAAAAATGTAAACATAGGTACCGGTAATTCATGAAGGTGATGGTGGTGGTGATGGTGCACATCCTGGCGAGGCCAGTCAGCGTTAAGCGCTTCTTCCAGCAGTCTGCGCGCTTGACGCTCATGGCCCTCGCTCTCCGCCTCGCCCTCCGGCTCCTCCGTGCACTTGGACGATAAGATCTCGTGGGACTTCTGTTGCATCACCTGCCAACATCAACATATTACTCATAGAAAAGTTGGTATTGTAAAATACTTTTTATCTTAGTGTTCAAAAACATTACTATTAGATATACGGATACAAAACGGACACTAAACGTGTTACAAAACGGAGATCTGCAAGACACAGATACCTTATAATATTTAATACACGATATAATGACGACTATATATTATCTATTTAATTGCTTAAACATTAGAAATCGCGGTAGCGTGAGGTTGACGCCCCCTTGTTCTATAACACGTATAATCGTAACACTATTAGAGAACTAAAGTCGGATATACGGTATCAGCATCTGTATATAATATATAGATGAGATCATGAGTGCACGGATAAGTATATGACTGCACGGATGGCATAGTGGTTTGAGCGATCGCCACGCGCGTCGTTTACTACTACACTGAGTATTGTGGGATAGATCCCCACATAGGACGACATGTTGTGTGATCCACAAATTGTTGTTCTGAGTCTGGGTGTTCTTTGGGTCCGTTTCATGTATTTTTGTAAAGTCCCCCCGCGACGCAGGAAATATTCATATGCGGGAGTTGCCTTTTCTCAAGAAAGAAAGAAAGAAATATAGGCACAGACCTGCAACACGAGCGTGCGCAGTTCGTTGGGCGGCAGCGCGACGAGCGAGGGCACCTCCCGCTGCAGGTAGGCCAGCACGGCGCCCAGCTCGCGCGCCTCCGCCCCGCCGCCCGCCCCACTCCCCACTACGGTCTCGTCCATACCCTGCCCGACCAAACAGATATCAAGACTCGGCATATTTCGGGCAGAACTGTCTTTAATAACATATTTGCAGAAAACATGCTTTAAACCTTAAGTAAGTTTTGTAAAATCTTACGTGCGTAACATATCCTTCAGGCCTTTGCTGTAACTCTTGTACATACTGTTGTTGCTGTTGATGTTGCTTCTTGTGCTGTTGCTGCACGTGTTGCTGTACTTGTTGCTGTACTTGTTGTTGTTGTTGCTGCTGCTGAACTGCTAGCTGCTGGTATTGCGCTTGCTGCAATTCTTGCAGTTGATGCTGTAAGTATAAAAGTATTAGCTTAGTACACATAGTAATCAAGTACTAATATTAATATCGAAATAGTAACAAAACTCTATTAGAAATGATTTCTAAAACTATGATTATGAAACATACATAATCTAAAGTACGATAGACCTAATAAATAGTGCCTACTTATACCTTAGGCTATTTTCAAACATACTTAAAAGCTAGTGAAATTTAGTGTATGCACAGATATCGCTAATTAAAAAGTTTTCATTAACTAAATGTCAGGTAAGGTAAGGGTATTATGTTAAAAAATCGCGAAGATTACCGCGACGGCACCCACTTCACTAATGTGCTGGCCGAGTCTCTGCAACGCATCCAGAAGGAGGAACTTGCATCCAAACTTGGAACATTTACGAGAAATTTTTGCGCGAGGACGATCTTGGATTGGTGCGTTCTACAAAGGAATACGGGTTAGGAAAACGGGCAGAGTGATGATAGTGACACAGATGGTGTTTTTCAACTGCAATTCTTTGTAGGGAACGTTCATCCTCTGTCGGGTATCTGCGGCCTATTACAACCGATTCGGATGTTACTTCTCTAACATAGTTCAATTATAGATTTATCTATAATAAAACATTAACTGCCAGTGTGTAATTATTTAAAACTAGATACACAACTCTATATTGTTTGTACACAAATAAGTAATATATATCTAAATAAATAAACTGACCTGGTTAAGGTTAGTTGCTAGCTGCTGCACTGGGAACAGCTGCGAAGGTGGCGGATACGGTGGTGTAGTGGGGGACTGGTGGACGGTCGTCACACCTGCAAACATAGCTAACATAAATAATACATAAAATATATTAATGTTTTTTTTAGTATTTATCACTATCTGCAGTGCACAGCTCTTCAGTGTTGCTGGTTATAGTCAATCCAAAAAATAATAGTGGGAATAATTAGGCTTAGGCTTTGGGCACTGGAACTGGGAGCCTATATGATTTTTTTAACCTTAATATTTTCTGATGGATAACATTGAAAAGAAACCAGTAAGATTTTGCAGTGTTACTTGAGTTTTTTACAACAGCATAATTCAAACAAGGACAAGTTTGTTTTATGGTTTAGTTAATATATATATTTGCTATAAATTAAGATTAATATGCAAATTAAAATAGGTAGTTGAAATACAAACAAGCATACAAAATGATAATACAGTACAGACATACACATTGAACTGGTGGTAAGGTTTATGACCTTATTTGGTAAGCTGTTAGTAAGATCAAAATTAATAAAACTGAAAACAAAAAAGAAGCTACACCATTAAGCCAAGAAGAGCGCCGAATCTTGTAACTGTTAATCATTCTTTATAAATATGCCAAATATAACAGCTAACTTACTTATATGTAATTCATCAGATAGACTTGTCCTCAAAGAATAAATAGCTGATCGATTACATCAAGTCACAAGAAATGACTCCCTAAAATTTGTATCCTCTTCTAGTGTTAAAATTAACCAAGATTTCTTCTCAAGAACCAATTCTAATCTTTAATTCTTAAATACATAGAAATAGACAATACGTCGGTACACTATTAGATCTCTAAACTATATATAATCTACTAAAACATCACACTCCCTTTTTGATACTTTGGCATAGTTATAAAGAAAAACACATTTGAATTTCAATCATTAAACCGATAAGTGGACAGGTGCTCTTTGTTGCGGCACTTAGTAAGCAACATTGGTGTACATAAACTCAGGTGACGTCATGACGTGCAGACTTGCCTTGAGCGCAGAACTGTAGGTCCAAGGCGTGCAGCGCCGACGTGGCGAGTGTCGGCGGACCTTTACAACAACGTCACCATTAGGTTTATCTCACACATATTGCACTTACTTTACTATGGCCTAACCATTTAAAAAGATTTTTACTTCAAACGGTTCGGACGCGGTATATATTTAATTTAGAGTACTGTGGGTATGAACACCAATTTATTTTACAGTCTCCAGTTTTAAAGTAAAGAGTCTCGACAGACTTATAATAAAATAACACATATTTAAGAAACTAGTTGACCAGAGGAAAACCCCTCATCACACTAAATTTATAATACTGGAGCCAAATCCGATGCATACTGTTCACTAAAACCGGCAAGATGTAATAATTGTTCGAGATTAGAGAGATTTTTAGAGTTTCAAAACAGAAATGCCCCTTGCACATAAACTATTATTCCTGTAAATCGTTTATTTCTTCCTACATAAAGAAAAATTACGAGAAGCCTAGCCTTGAATAACATAGTAATAATTCAATTTTATATACATGTAAAATGATATTAGGATAATTATAATATCAGAATACCCTAGTTAACAGTTGACATAAAACTTGGCTCGAGTTAAACGAGAAAGTGTAAAACTTACCTCCGGGGTCGGGCAAGTCGAGCAGACTACGGTCGGCCTCGAGCAGGCAGTCGGCGCGCGGGTCCCTCTGCAAGCAAAGCACGATCAGCACCACGGCCACGAGTCGCACACATACGCACTAGCGCGACTCTACTCGTCCTAACTACACCCATCGCACCATTACCGTATCACCCCATTTGACGATGGTAAACCAATTTGAAGACAGAGCCAATACGAGCTTATGTGCAAGTGGGTTGTAGAATAACGCAATCGTATCGAATGTTTTACTAAAGCCTGCGCCGCGGATAAGATTCAAAGTAGATATTTTGAACAGGAAATATAAATGTGCAATGCCTTGGGAATGAAAATGAATGATAACACTATGACTAAAAAATCAAAGTATTGATATGAGCCCTGTTAAAAACCAAATTTATTTTAGAGTTACAATAAACGATTCGAATCTTATCAAAAGCTAGATGACAGACTATAAAGTAAAGTATCACTCAATATTTTGTTATATATCAGAAATATCTATAGATTGATCAGAATTCCATCCCACGATTACGATAGACTACAATACCACCTGTCTTAAGACTTTTTGATTGGTCAAGTCAGAAAGTAAATCAGGTTTTTAGTTCTTATTCACATTTAACTACGATAAAAGAAACAGTTGGTCACACTCATTACCTGTACCTTTAAAACTAGGTGATCAGTGCCCTATTTCTCTATATATAACAACTGTTGTGAATAATGATAACAAAATAATCTGGAACTTATCCCCAAACACACAAGAGCTTTTGTCAATAATCAGATGACAGTAGCTTATATATGAAGTTTTGTAAAATGGAAAATAAAAGAAATAGGAAATAAAGATATTAGCTTTTTATTTAAATTTTCTGTTAAATTGTTATCTATAGTGTCTATAGTGTCTATAGTTGATTTTGCTTTAAATGACGATGCTTGGGATTAGTTTAATAATTTAGGATAGTTCGAACTAAAGCTTTGCCGTAAAGTATGGTGCTGCTGTCTATGAATCAATATTTGTGGAGAAACTGCTATAACTTTACAAACAAATCTATTTTACCTTAAAATATTTATTTATTTTAACCTCGATTTGATAATTCTTTTATCGTAACTAAAGCGTTATAAGGATTCAGAGCCAATATTGGATCAATGTACAGAGTGTCTCTGTCTAATTAAAACAAGATATTTCTGTTTGATCAAAAAGATTCAAATTCGTATGATGTGGACCCTTAAGACACAATGAGCTAGTGGGCTACGTGTGCGACACCTCTACGTTTACATGACAGATATGTTAGTGAATGTAATTTATTGAAGTGTGGACTCACGTTGCATTTATTTTTAATGTGGCATTTAATTTTAACTTTCTTGTTAACGTCCTTCCACGTAAACCCCGGCGGGAGTGATACCTTAGCCATGGCGTGGGAGCATATCTACACCGTGGGAAGCAAGCAAAGAGAAATGAAAAATGTAGTATTTTGATAAAGCGAACAATACATATATGTATAATAAAATTATATAATTCATTAGGACAGGGTGGTACTGTTAGTCAGAAAAGTTAATGTGAATGAGGGGTATTGGGTGTTAGATTTACTGTAATGTTCATTTTAGTTATTAATGAAAATATTATATACTTTAGATATTTCCATGTTTTATTTAATTGTAAATAAAACATGGAAAAGATAGAAAAGCAGCAGAGACTGCTCTGCTGCTGAAAGAGTTTGTGCAATTATGGATTTTTCCAAGATAGTTTATTATACCCAAATAAAGTGTCTACTTATATAGCTTTATATTATAGAATATGAATGATTGCAAAACAAATCAAGTGTTTATGATTTAGAGCATACTTAAGGGTGTCATCTTAAAATAATAACTTGTTAGAACCCAAAAGCTTTTAATATATCTATGACCGTTACTGTAATTATTTAGTGAAATTGCAGTAATAAAGGATTATGTCCACGTTTTTAATGAAAAAATACTTTTTTGGAGCAAGACAGGGCCTAAAACAATAGAATTTTTAAAGCTATAGAATTCTTACCCTAACCAAATATTCGAAGGCGAGTTTGTTTGTGCTTACAAATACTCAACCGAGGTTAGAAATTTCGCAGACATTCTTAGCTTTCTTCTCACAATACATCCCCAAGTGTAAACCTTTTACCATTTGGTCCCACCTTTTCCTGTAGCAATATTTATCAATTGCTGTTCTGCTGTTTTATAATGTCATTGATCCAGCGTTTTCTTTCCTCATTTCTTTTATACTTTGCCATATGGCCCAACTTCCATTTCAAACTTCAAACTGTGTATAATATCTGTTTTTCTTTTCTGAATGCTTCCCAGTCCTAGGTACTTCCCTCATTGCATGCTGACAAAATAAAATGCTGTTCCTTTTTTAGTACAGGTCCATGATTTGCATGCATGTATGAAACTTTTTTTATTTTATTTCTTTACAAATTCAGGTTGTAGTTGTGTCATTCCTTTGGTTAATTTCTATATATAATTGTGGCTCTAATCAGTCTTTGATTGTGAAAAGTAAATGCCAGTTTAACTTTGCTTACATTTTATAATTAATGTCTTACATAATATTTATCTAGGTATGCTGGTAATGTAATTGTTGGCCGAAGTTGGCAATATGACTGAATGAGTTATGTGATCAAAAGCTTTTATCAAAACTACAAAGCTTCCAAAAATGACCTGATTTGTTAAATTCTTTGTGCATTTCGATTAGCAGTGTGTCTATTGTGTGCATATAGTCTATTGTTGAGTATTGTGGTGTGAGCCCCCTTGTTATATTGGTTGACTTTTGTCAAAACAAACCCCAAAGAGTTTTTATATTGTTCAGTATAAAAGTTGTTGCATTTCTCCCCATGTCATCTGTTTTCCTAGTTTTGCATTTTCCATTATTTAGAGATCGTATCCACTTTTAATGAGATGTCAATTCTTGGAAAACACTCTTTGCACTTTGGAACTTTGTGATGTTATATCGATAACTGCTCTTCTTTGTTCATCCTTTTTTTATTCAAGAGTCATTCCTAGCAACCCTGTCTCTAAGTATTCCCAGAAACCTTGAAAAGTAACTAAACCCACTCTATGTAGGCCCATTCTTTTAGCTTTGTAACAAAGTATATATTTTTCCTGTTCTTCTATAGCACTTCCCATTAGTTTAGTTTCTTCAAGTCCTATAAACATTCTATGTATTTTTTCTAATGCTTGGCATAATTCTAACATTCTTTTTGTTAAAACATATTTTTAAGCATTAATAATTTTATAGTTTCATTTGTCTTTTTCATTATTGAAGTTGATTTTAATGCATTTTATTTGTTATTTTAGAAAAGGACAGGAAACCTGAGAAAGTTGTTCCCTAGTGAGATCCGCATCGATTGATGAAATCTGCATTCAAGGCAGCGAAATCGTGTGAAAAAGATAGTTGAAGAATAAATAAAATAATTATCGATTACCGTTAGCAGAAACTAAGAGTAGAGAAGCAAAAGTGCAATGGTATAGAATACGTGTGTCCGTGAGGAGAGGCGGTACTTACATTGTCGTCGAGTATGTCGGGCGGCGGCGGTAGGTGGTGGTCGGAGTGGGGAGGCGCGGGGCGTTGCTTGCGGTTGCACTTGTGCTTGGCGCCTGCGTCAGCGCCCGCCCCGCACGTGCCGCCCGCTGCACTGCAAGCGCCGCCCAGCGTCGGGCCCGCGGTCGCACCCGCGCCCGCTCCCGCTCCCGCCGCCTTCTTGCGACCCGCTACACCGCGCTCTACAATACACCAATACAGACGATCAGTACACATCAAAACAATTATTTATATAACATTTTATAATATTAACGAAAAATGAGTGAGTTACATTAAAAGTAATTCGTTATCCGCTACCGGTGTGATACAATAATTTCATTTCTTTATTCGAAACTGCTGCAGACAAAGAATCACGTACGCAGAAAATAATCGGTAAAGCGTTTACATGACGACCATATTAGACAGTAGTATTAACGTTGAAAAACTATCTTATAATGTCCGGTTGAGATCAAATCCTCGACGGAAAAACTTTTCTTTTAATTCTTTTCATGTACAAATAAAAAGGTAAGTAAGGTGAGTCGTGCAACGGAGAGTACGCGGTTAAAAAGTAAAGCGCATCGAACGAAGTACTCACCGTCGAGGTAAACCTTGGAGAACTTGGTGGGCAGGTCGGAGGCGGGGTGGTGGTGCGGCGGGTGGTGCAGGGCGGGGTGCGCGTGCGCGTGCGCCGGGAGCAGCGCGCGCGCAGGGGGAGCGGCCCCGGGGGGCGCCGCGCCGCCGCCCGCGCCCGGCGCCGCCGCGTGGCTCAGCCCCAGCGCCGCCGCCTGAGCCGCGCTGAGCCCCGAGCTGTCCTCGGCCGTCGTGTTGCCTGTGTACGACACACTCCATTATTTACCTACATGTCACTAAATAAATACATACGATCCATAACGAACTAATAAAGTGCAAAAGAATTACTATTATGCATAATAATTTGACAAATTAGTTTTTAAACTGCAGTACCGTTAATTTTAAATCCTTTACCATCACTGTACTATTCCAAGTAGAGACTATACTAACACAGGTGTTAGGAATCCGTATATTCTTTATAAGGATTTATAATTTTAGTTGTTTGCTAATCGATATTTAGAATTTGTTATTGAGCATGGCTAAAATGCACCCATAAGCATAAGTAAAAACCGTATGCACTCTAACTTCCGTTATTCTTATTATATAAACAAACGCCCGCACCTATATTTATATAATGTGCCTGACCTGGAATATAATTTCCCAGCGATTTAGCATTAGCAACAGTATTAATATTTAAGCAAGACGATTTTTTAAATCAAAAAAGTCTTCGCGTTGATGCGAATGAGATCAATGAGAAAACACGCGCTGTATGAATGTGAAGAGTTACCGAATAAAGCAACGAAATTTCGTGTACATATTAATTCCAATTAATTTGCTAACTGCTAATTAAGAATTAACAATTAAATATTAGTGTGAAGACTAATTAATCCACATCTACCAAATATTAAATAAAGAATATAGTTGTAATATTATCGTTCACCTCTAGGCAGCATAACTGAGTGAGGAAAATCGAGCAACAACTGCACAACAGCGGTGTGGCCTCCTTTGGCCGCTTCTATGAGCATCGTGGAGTTGTCTTTCAGCTTGCGAAACGGATCCGCTTCGCATGCCAAAAGAAATTTAACCACGTCCACATGACCCCCGGCACACGCCAGTGACAGGGGTGTGTGGTCACCCAAAGCAGTCATACGATTTACATCAGCACCCTGTAAGCACATTCAAAGTGGTTCAAGAATTATTTTAAAGAATAAATTGATTCGATTCTTAGATTCAAAAAAAGACTAAAGTAGACTTAGTAAGCAAATCTCTTAAAATCAAAATCATATCATATACCTTGCCGACAAGGAACTGTACAGTGCACACATGCCCCGCCCGACAAGCTTTCATGAGGGGAGTCCTGCCGCCTTCGCTTTCATGTTCGAGCTCGGCACCCGCCCGCAGCAGTAGATCCGCCACATCCGTGTGTCCGTTCTCACACGCATACGTCAACGCCGTGTCGCCTGTTTGAGTCTGGGCATTGACGTCAGCGCCCGCGTTTAGAAGGTACCTGATACATACAAAACATCATAATAGCATACAGAATGTATTAAAATAAATTCCATACAAATACACATAAAAATTTAGATGCGGAATAAGTGAATGAACATGTGCTTCTAATGATTTGTGAATTTGGTTACGACGACTTTGAATTCAACAGGTGAATAATTGCCACATTTTTGATATATTACCAACTCTTCATACTTTGCACACGACAATGAAACGGCTATGACATGAGATGTACTAACCGAACAAGTTCAAGGTGTCCTTCCTGAGACGCTTCCATGAGGGGAGTAGAGGCACCAAGTTCGGCATCAGCCCCAGCCTTAATGAGGAAGTCGGCGACCTCGAGGAACCCGCCACAGCACGCCAATGTTAACGCTGTCTCCTGCGTCTCTTCAGTCTGAGCGTTGATGGATGCGCCTTGGCCCAGTAGCAACGCCACCATTTCTTCGTGACCTATAAATATGTATTATTACGCATAAAGACCTAGAACCATTGTATTAAATAAAAAAGTAAGTTTGTTATTCAAGTGTGCTAATCTTACTGACCGATAATCCCATAGATTAGAGAAATCAGGTGAACACTAATGGGATACTAAAGAAATTGCAAGTCAATCGTGAAATAATTTTTATTATTTAAATCATCATTTTAGTGTAGTTTTTAAATTGGGTTCAGTTTGGCTGATAAAAAATAATTTAAACTTTATATAAGTATTATCATTGATATAATACTTACATAGATGAGTAATTACCGCCTAAAATCGTTGCTACTGTACATATGTCCACAGGCATATGCGTAGCAAACGTCAATTCATTATTCAATGTGGCGTCAACCGAGTTGAACATAGCGACACATGACAGTAACAATCGCCAAAATGGCTAAATGCGTAGTGAAAGAATGCGATTTAAGGTCACAAAACATTAATAAATCATGCGGAATTACTTTTCACGTGTAAGTTTATGGTTTTTTGTATTGATAATATCGTAAATAAGGCTATAATTGAAATAAAACACTGATAATTGTAATCTAGAATCAGTGTTACCATTAAAAAATCATTTTGGTTTTCCCCACATTAGTGGGAGAATTTATAATTTATGAAATAATATGTTTTATACTGTTTTTAAACATTTTGCCAATAATAATAAAATATAGGAAGAACGGTAGTTGCTAGGGCTGGACCGATCCCTTTTTTTAGGGACCCGTTGAACGTTCACTGCGAGCTTGGTAGAAGTGCCAAGCTCGCAGTGCTGGAGACTTTTGTACAAAAAATTAATTCATTGTTTTTCTTAATTTATTATCAATTTTAAATAATAATTGTACAAAATAATAATAATAATAATAAATGTTTATCATAAAAATAAAAATATAAAATAAAAAAGTAAATAAACATAAATATTTTTTTTTATAAAATAAAAACTTTTTTTTTTTTTTTATTTGTTTTTTAAATTATATATTTTTATAATTATAATAGAATTTGCAATACACCCTGGGGATTATTTATTATCAGTACAAGTTGATCATTCACTTTTATTATTAAATGCTATTATTTTTACATACGTAAAAATAAGATTGTATCATGAAAGTAAAATATCCACACAAACTTATAAAAAGAGTCTAAAAGACAATTGTATTACAAAACTGATGCTTCACAGCGCAGTTTGATTTTACACTGAATATAAACCCTTTTAACCAAATATTTCCAGTTATTTTATTATTTATACCTATTCTATTCAATTCGAAATATATTATTTAGAATATTTAAATTAATTTATTTTATTACAAAATTGTTTTAAAAAAAAATTGTTTCTTAGTTGTTATGGGTAAAATTTCATACGGTAGTCAACACTGGCCCACCATCGTAAAGTTACATCTTTGTCTTTGTCTAATCCGAGCGATGCTATTGTTCTTGTCTCGCGTGTAAATGAGACATAAATATGTTTACTTTCAAATGTTTAGTGGTATCAAAGCTACGTCGTCAAAGTTCAAAAGTGGTTACACTTTTTTCGACGTGTGATAATGAGGTTTGCTTCTCTAGTGTTGTTTTAACTCAATGAGTATTATAATATAATTGAGAAGCAAGAAATCGTATGCAATATAGTAACTTAAAATTCAGATTATCAGATCAGATCTTCAAGCCCTTTACTTAATTTCATTTAACAGGCAGATTTCTTGGGCCACCGATCTGCCTCAAGCCAATGTCTTTGGGAATGTTATATTTTTAAAATAAGACTACAAAAAGTTTGGAAAATTAAGGTTAAGAAGATGGAAAGGGATAGATACCCGTCTCGGATGAATAAGGGGACGGTTGTAGCTCAACGAGATCACGTATTCATGTGTCTGTCCTATGATTGAATACAACGCTACAGGGTCATCAATTGTCCGAAGTTTATATTTAAATCCCGATATTGAAGTTATGAAGATTACTTTGGCTACAGCAATGTTAACACGCACATTAGTCATATCCCTAATCTTCATCAGTAACTTTACCAATTGACGCAACAAATACAAGTTACGCAACCTATACTATAAACGACAATTCAACAGTAGTTATTAAACTAAGTACAAATGTTATGACGTAGTTAACATATTATGCGGTTGGGTAATGCGTCAAAAAATTATTTGATATTAAATGAGCGTAAAGTACTTCATTCTAATCAATATTTTGTATTTTTTTCAACTGGCGGCAGATGGATTTAAAATTCATAATCTAAATTGGTTAATGTGATAGTTTTTTTTTGCACTGGTGGAAATTTAAATAAATGTTAAGTTTATTTGTATGCTAGGCTAGATAGAGCCTCTTCCACATTCATCACACATGCCAGATCTGGTTACTTTTTACTGGACTCTTTTACAGTGGACTACCGATGTAGGGTTAGGATTTTAGTTGTGTTGAGGCTCACCCATACCGACTCATCTCCTCACAGCTATTTACTCAAACTATCAATATGCCAAAAACCCTCCCAGCATTCTCTTCTGAACTCTTGCAACATTTTTTACCTATTCTATTTTCTTATTTTTCTTAACTCGATCGAGTTTGGTGGCTTATGAATAAATGGCAAATCATCACATTGAAAATAAATTAATGAACTGATTATTAATAAATAATTAATATCCCACCTCTTGGGGTAGCTCGTGGCTAAGTAGTAACCAAGTAGGTTAGCACATTTCAAAACTAAGCACTCCTAGCTAAGTCTATGAATGGATGCACATTCTTAACACAGCACATTGAGACCAGTCTGAGCCTCAGAGAGCACATTAAGGCATCTCGCCCAATTGTCATAAGAACAACTGTTGCAATCGTTAAGGGTAGTTGGAGCCCTAAAAAGTATGACAATAGTCTATCTACAGAACTTTGATATCGCCTATAGTTAAACCGCCGTAAGCTTGGCCCTCCTGATGGTTTGGGGGACGCGGGGCGGGAGTGCATTCAACCAATTAGCTAGTGCGTCGCTGTCCGCCGGCAGTGACTGACGTGAAAGCATGGCTGTACGTGTTATTTTTCTTAAGACTGCTACACACGGTATTATTTTGCAACATGGATAATCTGCCGACTCTGCGTCACAAAAAGATTTAAAAACTTGAAGTTCGGCTTACAGAGGTTCTACTATTAAAGTTCTAATAAAGAATATTTATTATTTTACTTAATTTTTAAATTGTATCTGAATATAATTTACATGATGAAGATAGGTGGTTTTACTAAAATAGTTTTACAGTATTAAATTTTACCATTAATCATAAAAACTTACAATACACTGACATTATAATACATAGAAATAAATTCGATATTTATTACATCGTGTGTAGATTAAATCTCAAACAAATAAATCTGAAGATATCGAGTTAGTACATCGTGTCATGTATAGCCGAGCGCATCACCCGCCCCGCGTCCCGCAAACCATCAGGAGGGCCAAGCTTACGGCGGTTTAACTATAGTACTTAGGTTGTGGAGGTCCGATGGCAGTCACTAAACGAAAATAATGAAAATTCAGCCGTGTCGTAGTCGACTGAAATCCGACCCCAACCTAGTTTTGGAAAAGGGATGATAACCTTTCTTTACTCTACCAATAAATCTTTCTTGGCTAGCTGTTTGTATTAGTAAAGAGTGTTCTTACCCTCTCTGGCTGCCTCCATGAGTGGCGTGTACCCCTCGTCGTTGACCTCCTCGATGTTGGCTCCACGCTCGAGCAGCAACATGGCTAATTCCACGTGGCCCCCGCACGCCGCTAGCGTCAGCGGGGACTCAAAGCTGTCGGTGGGCATGTTAACCTGCAAAAACTTCCTGTATTAACAATGGATCTCCAGATTTATTGATTTCATTAACGAAGGGTTTTATAAATCCTTTTATTACATAATAATTACGCATGTTACTTGTATAAAAATGACTCAACTCCTGATAAAATTTGGATTCGTTCGTAATTGAAAATTACAATACCAGGTATAGGTACATGAAATGTTTTAGATTTTAAATTAGTGTTAATGACTAACTAAAGTTTGGAAACGCATATTAAAGGATAAATTACCTGTGCACCAGAGTCGAGCAACAACCTGGCGACCTCAACATGCCCATCCATACTAGCTTCCATAAGGGCAGTGTGCATTTCATCGGTCTTGTGTTCCCGGTCGGCACCCGCTGCCAGCAGGAAACGTACCATATCAAGATGACCTTTATAGCACGCGAGTGTTAATGCAGATTCTTTGAACTCATTGGAGTGGGTGTTAATGCCCGCACCATGTTCAAGAAGGATTTTGGCAACTCCCACGTGGCCTGCAGACGCCGCCTGTAAAGGATAATATTCGTTAGACGTTATTTATTTAGTTATTGCTTTCATCAGGGAACGGTATCCATACTATGCGATGCATATTTATTATATGATATATTACATTCCAACCTTGACGTATCCCCCCCCCTACTAGTTATGACGTTTAATACTCATTATGGAAGTTAGAAAAAAGAAACAAATTTATATCATATTTTTTGTTATAAAATACAGCGTTTGCCATACACTTCATGACAAAAATCTAATACCCCCAAACCCTGTGACAATGTACGATATACTAAAGGAAGTAATTATTGTCATTCTGTCTTCCTCACTATCGCAGCAACTAGCTTGGACTGTACATAGGCGGTATTTTTTTTTATATCACCAAAACATTAATCATCATTATACCCTTAAATCCTTCACTATATATAAATATAACGGTAGAATAGTCAGTAATTATAGAAATTTTAATTCTTTTTCGAAATTTAAAGGAATTAAACCAGTTTGTACAAAAGCAGCAATAATATACTGCAATGTTTTAGTCATTTGGTCGGAAATTCGCGATAAATATGGAATGTAGCTAACAGTTATCTGAACTCATACAAAGTTTTTACATATTCACTGTGTTTTCATTTATCAATTTTATTAACTGTTTTTATTATCTCTATCTCATATTGGTTGTCTGTTAACACAGTTTGGCTATTACCAACTCTTTTGGAGTAAGTTAGGCTCTAGTTTGATTTGTTGTAGTCAATAAATTGTCGGTTTTCATTAAACCTTTTTTTTTTCATCGACCGTTAAAGGAGCAGTTGCGCAGCGAATTGGACGGTTCGCAGAAGTGATTAACCACACTACACAGATAGATCAATGAAAAAGTTGTGTAAAGCCTGTGTTGGCTGTGTCACACCATGGCGAAGTCGGTTTTATTATTTTAACAAAATAATTACACATTTGACATAAAAAAATCGCTATAAATCTATATGTATGTAATATAATTTAGTTTCAATTTATTAATTTAATTTAATATAATTAGCTATCTTTTTCCTGCGGCTTCACTCGTGTTAAAATTATTTTTGTACACACTAGAAATCCAATATTTGTTTGCAGTTTATAGTTATGACTAATGGAATAACCTATTCAATTCGTCATAACCATGAACGGCTCGGATAGCAACATCTAGTGCCTAATAATGTTCCCTATTAAAAGTCGTCACCGGGAAAAAGCCAATTTAATATATTATTTTAGTCTATAGTTTAGTTTACGTTTCAGACAATATATGACAATTTAGGGATTTTAACAGTAACAAGCATTGGTATAGATACCTCCATAAGCGGCGTGTGTCCATTCTCGTTGTGGTCTTCGACGTTGGCTCCGTTCTCGAGCAGCGCGCGCACGCACTCCTCGTGGCCGCCGGCGCATGCGTACATGAGCGGCGTGTTGCCGGAGCCCGACACGGCGTTCACGTCTGCGCCGTGCGCTATCAGGAGCCGCACGATGTCCACGTGGCCCGCGCTCGCAGCCTCCATCAACGGAGTGCAGTCGCCCTACGTAATAAAATATTTATTTTGGAACATCAATTTCTGTTTATTTAATAATCTAGGATGCAATATTATGAAGACATGTGAAAAACGAAATGAATTTAGTAATTTTATTTTTCATTCGTCTCAATTTCTCAGGTTCCTATAATTTTCGACTTTTTTAAATTAATAAATTCTCGTGAGAATTTGCAAAAGTATTTAAAATACCTTGTTGTTAGTTTAGCTTAGCGTAAATATACATCTTAGTTGGAAATATGAAAGATTTATAAACAAAATCTCTTTGTTGTATGATTATGTTTACCTTGATGCCTCGGTCCTCGACACTCGCATGCATGGCAAGCAGCACTTGAGCGAGCTCGTAGTACCCCGCGGAACAGGCGAGCGACAACAGTGACTCGCCCTCCTCAGTGGTCTCGTGGACGGAGCGCCCCTCCGTCAAGAGCTTGCGAACGGTACCGACGTCACCGTCCGAGCACGCCTCGGCCAACGACGGCGCACCATCTGCGCCCATAGGTGCTGCCGCCACAGGCGCCGTGCCCGTCGCCGAAGACCCACATTGTTGACTAAAATTTATAAATGTATATTTCAATATCTAACACCCACCCACGACAACAGTTACAATGCCAAGGAAATAATCAGATAAGATCAAAGCTTCATGAATCACAGTCCCGAGGCGGTCTCAATCGGGTCGACGAGAGAATCTGTCCAGTCTACATCATCGTCGACCCGAGAGGCTTCACGCTCTCGTGTTTATGGACTCAAATCTCGATATATCATCATGGAAATTGTTGGTGTGTAATACTCGTATACGTTTAAACGAATATAATGATATATCTTTTAATCATGTTGTGTTCTGTTTATTAATTCATTTGCGGAATTTACGTCTGTTTATATTTACACTAAATCGATCACGACGTTACTAAGTCTATCACGCGAGTGATAACAAAAGCGCAACACGAAAGAGATAACACGATTTTATTCAACTATAAAAGAAAAGTATAAACAGAGCAAGTGATACAAAGACGCCTGTTTCTGATCGAACATTCAACAATCACAGTGGTGAGATAAAATTTTACGATAATAATTCATTAATACCATACTGGTATATGATTAATAAATATTATTCGGAAAAATTATTATGCAAAATAAACAGGAAAAGTGTGTACCGCTATGAATTAAGTGAAAACTTGTAGAAAGCTGTGGGAATGACGTAACGTTTGATATTTTAAGATCAATAAACTCTGGGCGGTTGAAGCACGTGTTAATGATAGTACAGACAATCGTACTGGTGACCGACGATGTTGTGCATATTTCCACGTTTTAAAGGTGGAGAAATTATTTATTTCTTACGACTGACTTTTGTTGACTCGCAAAACTGCACATGAATTGTTTAAATGCGGGAGTGTGTGAAGGATATTAGAATTTCAAATGAAAAGTAGGCAAATGTTCATAAGTTGCCCAGCCAAAAATAATTAAATATACTTTAACAGACTGCGATTACCTAAAAAAAGGAATTCCCATTCTCAAACATCATCAACTTCTCAACAAAAATAGGGAATGAGTTCGATAAAGTCTCTACAAATAACACGTCATATGTTCAGACCGTCATAATTGTTCTAGAAAGAAAAATAATAATCGTCAAATTTCATTGTGGAATATTTGTTCTTGTTAATCCTTAATATTTGTGAAATACAAATTAATAGTTGATAATTATCTGAAAATTTTACATTATTGACACTTAATACACTGTGACAAAATAAGGATTAAAAAAAAATTAGTTCTTGTTTTATTTTTTTAATTTTGTTTTTGTTTTGCCAACCATGGCCCGGAAATATAAAGAACGAACGTTTACCCATGTTCACGTTGCTATCGAAGCAGCACACAAACCTAAACACAGAAGAACTGTCTCGTTTATGGCTTTTATCAATCATAAGATAGCATACGCGCCGTACACAATCAATGATTCATTAAAAATGGGGCAGGTCAAAGTAATCTCTGTCGGTAACGACATTTCTACGCTGTATTAAAATAAATCTAGAAATGGTTGTGTTTTATTTTGTTGAAAAAATTAAACATTGTTATTGGATAAACATTGACGGAAATCATTTGATAAGAGAGAAAACACATTTTTATTTTAATACATACTTTAGCTACATTCTGGCTATGGTTTTATTTGATAGCGCGTATTGCACAGCACCGAGCACAGCACCCGAAATATTAATGATTCCTAAACTACACAAGACGTCAGCCCATGCAATTTATTTTTCCAGAAATATAAAGCATTTGAATAAAGCAAAAAAAAAAAGCATTTGAATAACTCCTAGTACTTGAAATGTTTTTTTTTGCTTTTGAATTTGGTTTTGGGTAAGTTGAGCAATTGAAATATTTTAGAAATTATACAATGCACGAACATTCAACTAATATTGTAAAGAATCTGTTATAGTAAGGGATGCCTTAATACGACGGTACTGAGGACTCGTCGATTGGTCGTTGGCAACGGTTTTACACAACAGTTTTGTACATTAAAAAAAGACGTAATACAACTTACAATTACAACATTTGATAAAGTTTGTAGCAGAAACGTAGTACATACTTTTTATCCTGGTGGTGATGTCTGTGGTGAGGTGGTGGTTGATCGCTGCGCATGCGCGTGAGTGCAGCGGCGGCCTCATCAAGAGCGCACGACACCGACGACGTTAGTCGCCGGAGCACCTCCGGGTCGGCGAGATGCTTGCCCTCGCCAGATAGTTTACCGATGCCTGCAAACAAAACTTTATATCAAAAACAAAACAAGTGAAAACTCCTATAAGAAGAGACACTGCAGGATATTGAAGCCTTGTTAAGAAAAAGATGCAAAACATTGTGGTCAATCATCAGTAAGAGAGACCTTAAAAGAGGTTGGAATCAATAACATACTAAGTAGGACGTTAGTTAACTCGTATGGTAAAAAGTCGTCTACATGCGTTACTATAACGTAAACAGAAACCGAGCACACATAAGAGAAAATTTTAAAGTGACTATGATTACCTTTAAAGGAGCATGATTGTGCCGCAAATTGCAATGTAATCAATATATAGATGCCGGTTACGATAGGATGACTTTCTGAATTGTATGTGTTAGACCGCAGTGAAAATATAAAATTGCGACGGAACGGATCAAAACTGTAATCGAAAGCTTAGGAGTTCGTTAACTTTTGAATACAGCCTTTGTACACGACAGTGATTGCTGGCGATAAAAATAAGTTAAGTCTACCAGTTCATGGCTATCTATTAACGTAATTAGAAGATATCAGAGCTCATTGCTTATCGCCTATAAAACTATTTCTTCGATAATAGATTTAGCTATTAAAAATGCCTCAATTCGTTTTTTAATTTCACGAGTCCTAAAAAACAATACAGATTAGTAATGTTCTGAATAGCAAAAATTCATTTCACGTAATTGGTGTTTAAAAACTGTGCTATTCTAAATACAAATAATGATATTAACTTTTAGAATTATCTTAATATATAATCTACATAAGATCTTGAAAACACTATCTGATTATCTTAAAGCAGGTCACTTAGACGAGACATCCAACTAAAAGATTTATCATCGAAATTGTCACTAATCGTGATTCTCTATAAAAAGTACAATTTAATTAAACCCGTAAAATCCATTACCGTCAAAATCGAGGCTTAGTTATACTAAAGCAAATATGGCATCTGTGTTACAGCAATATTTTGTCTAACCATACATGTGTTTATTTTTTCACCATGGAATTTAACATTATCTACTATCTAGAGAGACCTAAATTGGGTTAAATTATACACCATGTGGGTACATTATGAAGTGTTTATAATGTTAACTATTTCTGAGAATACAAGATGCCAAAAAAAATTGTTGCCACTGTATGCCTTTAACACGATATACAGTTTGATACAGATTAGACTTAGTTATGTAAGTGTATATGTTTCACAGCTTATGTAATTAATTTTTTGTACAAATATTAGGTATTGACCGATTTCTGTCGACTCTACAAACTTGTTTAAGGATCACGCCTTTAATGAATACCGGGTACATGGTTACTGTATTTGAAACTTCTAACTTTGACACTATAAGAAGTGAAACTCTAAGAAGTGTTGTCAATGTTTCTAGCTTTGTTAATTTTAGTAAGATTGGATATAAAGGTCAAACAGTAAGAATAGACATAGTTTGTATTCAAATTTAAATGACAATAGTGTATGGTCACTAGCTTACGACGCTACAGGGCGAGAGTTCACACAATTAATTCTGACACTGTACATGGCTCATTATTTCAACAAAACAAATAAATACAAGTCAGTAATGCCTCTTGCCTGTGTCTAGGGCCATTCTGTGGGCTTCACTGAGCAGAAAAAATCTTCCCTATGTATTCAGATCCACGGTGACATGTCTGTTGGTATAGTGGTTAGTAATTCTAGATGATGAGTAATTCAGGACAAAATTTAGTGTGATAAGCACGATCATTTGTTCTGTGTCTGTGTATAACTATAATATGTATGTATTTAGTAATATATAAATATTTTTATAAGAAGTCCGATTAGTTGAGGTTCTGCCTAGTGTACTAGGTGGTTTATAAAATAGAAAAAACGTTAATAGATTGGTGGCGGAACAACTTGAGGCGGAAAGCTTTATATAGACTTAGACCGTTATCACATATTAATTTAGAATTCCTGATATGGAAACAATCAAATGTTTGGCTGGAAATTAACAATGAATGAACGAAGAACGGGACTGAATAAATGCGACTACTATAGCCTCGCTCGTTTCTTTATAAGTTTGATAGATACTGCTTGTTATGATAATTTAACTCTTCAGCATAATCATTATCAGCCTCTCGCAGTCCACTGCTGGACATAGGCCTCACCAATTTAACCAGTGTGAATTTACCTTAAAATTTTTACTACACCAGTAAGTCCGGAGTTCTTCAGTAATCATCACATCAACAGACTTGAATAATCCACTGCTGGATATAGGCCTCTCCTTAAAAAGGAGGTTTTGGCCTTCAGTAATCGCTATTCTTTAAATCGATAAATAATATATAACAAGGCAAATATACTTTCATTCGCCCACTGCACCCCGTGGAATGTAAAAGTTCATACAAATGAAGTTTGTTTTTAATTTATCGTCTTCAAGGAATTCAATGGGACACAAGAACACACAATGAGGGCAAAAGGAATGTCTTCACATATCATTTATATCTATAGCAAAAGTTTCTAGTTGATTTTAAACTGATTACTACTACTGAATAACTTTAAATGAAGACGTGCACATTTAGAGCAGTCATGGCATAACTCATACTGGAATAATAACTTATAAGTTTTTTTTTCTATGTGAATTGTGTAGATGAGAAAATTGTATTCGTGAAAACGGTTCCAAAAACTTTTTATGTAATCAAAGTATTGATTGATTTTGGTAAGACATTCATCAATAGACAGCGCAACCATTTAACCACGATCTTGTTATTATATTATGTGGGATACTTCAAAATGTTTTTAGAAGCAAGGCAGCTTAAAAATAGCGTCTCAAAAGTGTAGTGATAAATGTTACTTGAGCGAAGTTGAGATAGAACGCCAGTTTTAATATCACGGACGGTAATGACGAGAGTTCTGCCCTGAAAGTTACTGTAAAGCGATTAAAAGTTCGTGTGCCTTTACATCTTTGAGCGAGTGTCTGACGAGTTTCGTTCTGCACTAAACCATATTTTTTGTTTTAAGCATATTTCAAACAGAACTATCTTCCGAATCCATTGGAAATGCAACTGTGGAATATGAATACGTACATATTTCTACTAACAAATACTAAAATATAATATTTAAAAAATAAAATTCCTTTTCAAAAATAAGTTCAATCTTTTGTTGGTCACCTGGGCGGTATAGCTACATTAAAACATTCCATCTTTAATGTTAAGTTTACCCAAAGGCTATTGAGAACGAACGGGAAGCCTTTAAAAACCGATCGATCAGCCAAACCTTCCTGTAAAATGATTCCCTAATAAAAAAAGACATTTCTGGATCGCCCACGTCCGTGTATTGCGCTTCTATTTCCGAGAACTTTTTCCTCGGGGGTTCGTGCGGTGCTTACGTCACGAATCGCAGCACTCGGGTAGAGACTGCTAACGTAATGAGATGCGAAATGACAGTTCTTGCAAAAATGCAATGCCCTTGTTATAACTATGAACAGTACTAGGTTCGTTAATTGATACCGTTTCATCAACCTCTCATCATTTTCGTTTTATTGTTTAGAACCTAATTTAGAAGTTTATTAATTTTCATTATTCGTTCGTTCACAATGTATAGTTTTTACTAACTTAGTTTACAAACACATATTTCTTAAAATATTAAATTAATTCGTGATATGAACTATTTTCTTCTATATGTGCATATTCATAAAACATACAACTTCAAGAAAAAATAACATTATAATCAAAAGAGACTGTGCCATGACAGTAATCTGAACAAGTAAAAATATTTAATTTTTTAATGATGAAACAAAATATATTTTAAAAACAAAAACTCGCTCATTAATTAATAAACATAGTAAGCATGTAGGTACATGCTTTGTTTTAATTTGGTAACTAAATGGCAATGCACTACTAAAATCTGTAAGTACTAGTCAAGGTACGAATGAATGATTACGTGAAATAGTGAGCGTTCCTTTTATTATTCGTGTCTACATATACTTTTATATGTGTGCAGGTTGCAGACGAACGAAAGTTATCGATTTGTTAAATACGAACCTAGACATAATAGCGAATGCAGCTATGTGTGCGAAGAGGTCAAGGCGGGTTATGCTTTATTTCAATAACGCTGACGCCAACACTCGTTCATCATTTTTTTAAATTGTTTATGTGTTATTAGATATTAATATCATACATTGATTACTATTTCTGTAAGGTTGTGTAACAATACCGAGTAAAACACAAGATGGGTGATTGTATTTATAAATCAGTCATATATGTATAAGTATCGACAACATTTATGACAACTGGCGAAAAAGCGCAGCTAAAAAAAGGTTTACACGTATGAAGTCTGCATTCCGTGGGCACATTTATAATTCTGTTGTATTTTACAGTCTTGTTTTTTGTTTCATTTCACTAAATAGGCAAACGTAACAAATATGTGAGACACAAGAACCCAGAGAAAAATCACATCTCAAAAAACCCATTGCCCTCCTACTATTAAAATTTACACTGCTAACTCCATTCACAGGAACTCTTGTGATCACGCGCGGATAGCAGGGCGTGATCACAAGAGTTCCTGTCTCATTCGAAAAATGTTGTCATACTATCATAATATAAACAAATTATAGACATTTTTAATTACGATAAGCACTCCTATTGTATAAAAATTCAGTCACGATTAAGCAAAATTGTCTATACATAAATATTTACCGTTAAGTTTTATCTACGGTATAAAGACTAAAGCTTAAATACAATTACGTATAAAAAATTGGTAGTTAAAAAAATGTTTATAAAAGAGATAATGGTCAGTTCACACAAAACATCTGTTTGTCGGGGCCGCGGACTGAGTAAGAATTTTTATATCGGCGTTCGCAGCTTTATATCAATTGCTATGGGGCGTTAGGCGTGTGGTACTGGTGAACGAGGCGAGCGATAACGTGACGTCACGTTAAGCCATGCTTAAGACATAGGAGTGTTTTTAGTTATATTTATTCAGTTTGGAGTAGGTACTAAGGTACATTTTTTCTTGTTTGTTTTGTGTATTTTTGTATTGACATA